ATACGCTAATCTGGTTCTCTAAGACGAGGTCATTGAACGGAGTCGGAGCACTTTGTGTTTGTAGATTGAGTTCTCAGTGTGTGTCGTGAATGCGAAGGTTGTTTTTTTTTTTAACAGAAAGTTAACAAGGCAGAGATCTGTACAGCATTGGTCTGATTGTAAACTGCAGATAAATGACCATAATTATGCAGAGTAGCCACCCGTGGCCTGATCCACCGCATTGTAAGAGTGGAAAACTGGAAAGAGAGAGACTATGTGTGTATGAGACGAAGGACCTTGCTTGAAAATTAAAGGGATTCTCCACTTTTTTGGGAAATAGGCTCATTTTACCAATCCCCCAGAGTTAAACAGTCGAGTTTTACTGTTTTTGAATCCATTCAGCGGATGTTTTGATATTTAGAAGAATATCAGTAACCAGACAGTTTCTGGTCTCAATGACTTCCATAGTAGGAAAAAATCAACCCGGTCTCATCCCAAGACGTCATATAACTGACGTTTTGGGACGTCTTTTGACCATACGTCAATATTCGCCTTTTTAGGGCCCCCTTAAATGTCGGTAGATGAGGTTATGGGATCCTAACTCTACCCCAGACCTAAACCTAACCCTAAAGCTAACCCGTCACCTAACTGACGTTAAAGGTAAAGCGTCAGTTGTATGACGGCCCGGGATCGCCATCTACCGACGTTTAAGGGGGCCCTAAAAAGGCGGATATTGACCTATGGTCAAAAGACATCCCAAGACGTCAGTTATATGACTTTTTGGGATGAGACTGTGTTAAAAAAATATACTATGGAAGTCAATGAGACCAGAAACTGTCTGGTTACTGATTTTTTTACGAAAAAAATCGGCTGAATACATTCGAAAACGGTAAAACTCAACCGTTTAACTCTGGGGGAGTGGTAAAATGAGCTTATTTCCAAAAAAAGTGGAGTATCCCTTTAACATTTGAACTCTCACACAATCATCCTAAACTTTTTTGCAGAGATCACCCAAACTCACATAAGAATCTATATGGTTTTTATTTGAACAACTATCATACAGTATTATACATGTGTTTAGTATTATTTGAAATGTCTAAAAGTGCGACTGGTCAAAAATAAATAAAAAACTTTAAGTTTTATGAGCACAAATGTTTTCGACATCTTTTTTCGCGTCATTTGGTTGATTCAACGAATGAAATGAACCAAATGACTCGAAAAAAGATTTGTTCGTTTTGATGAACGAGTTCGAACAGGAGAGTCACGAACGCTCATCACAGAACAGAGAAAGGCGACCATTTGTGCTTATAAAACTTTTTTTAGTTTTGAAAAGTTTCGATAAGACCCTTATTCATCGTCTGGTGTCGTTTAAAGCCCTTTGAAGCTGCACGGAAACTCTCATTTGGACCCCATTGAAGTCCATTATATGGAGAAAAATCCTGGTACCATGTAATTCAACTTCTGCCCCCATAAGTCTGTGAACACAGTAACTTTCCATCGTTAACTCATGTTTACATATCAAATGAGGTCTGGATATATAATGAAACACAATTAGAGATCATCAATGCTGTGTCTAATTCATGGATTTCATAATGTCGGGTAAATGATATTCCTCTTTGTTCTAAAACATTTGATGGTTTGCATTGATTATCTTTCAATTGATAATGAAATTGTAATAAATATCAAATAAGACGGCCTTACAGCATCTTAGCGGATAACAGTATAAGTGTCCTAGACCTGCAGGTTATTGATGAACAACAGGAGCCTAACCGTGTTTTTAATTAACAACTATTTTCCAAGTCAAATAAGGTGCTTTACCACTGGGAACGTTTAAACTCACACTGATAATCTACAGCGTCCCAAAGCAAAGACTCTTAATGTCTTCCTGTTTCTTTTCAATGGGTCGCTGATTATCACACTAAAAGCATACTAAGTGTCAATAACGTAAATTATTAAGGGATTTAAGTGGCACCGAGCAGTCAGAGTTAATTACGACCAACTACTTGTCTTGAAACTAATTATTTTAGTTGAGATTTTTAATTTCTATTATGGCTGGGGGACAAATAAAACTATAAGCCACAATCACAATGCATTTTTTAATGTTTTATGTATGTCAAATATTTTTGACATAAGTCTCTGCATTTATTTGATTAAAATACAGTAAAAACAATGCTATCGTGAAATATTAAAATAAACAATTTGTTAAAATGTACTTTATTGCTGTGATCAAAGCTGAATTTTCAGCATCATTACTCCAGTCTTCAGTGTCACATGATCCTTCAGAAATCACTCTAATATGATGATTTGCTATAAATTGTTAATAATGTTAATGTTTGCTCATTAATATTTTTGTGGAAACACACTTTTTTCAGGATTCTTTGATCAATAGAAAGGTTCAGAAGAACAGGTTTTATTTGAAATACAAACATTTTATGCAATTATGAATGTCTTAACTGTCATTTTTGTTTAATTTAATGCATCCTTCCTGAATTTAACTATTCATTTATTTTAAAAAAAATCTTACTGACCCCAAACTTTTGAATGGCAATGTATATTTTTTTTACCAAAAGCATTAAAAAAATGTCACGCCGAGAGATTTTGTGAATGATGACAAACAAATAACTGAATCTTAAAAATTGAGTCTTAAATAAATTCACCAAACCAAAAACTTGAAAATAAATCAAACTAAAAAAAAAAAAGTGAATACTGTTCTCAAAAACATCAAAACTTAATGAGAGCAAAATGAGTCAATCATTTTGATTCACTTTCTCAGAAAAAAAATATATATATATAAAATTTAATTGTATATCAGCTATTTTGACAATGTTTAGAAGTACATTACACTCTCAGAAAAAAAGGTACAAAAGCGGTCACTGGGGCTGTACCTTTTCAAAAGGTACACTTTTGTACCCAAAGGCTGTTAGAACCTAAAATGTACATATCAACACCTAAAATGTACATATAAGTACCTAAAATGTACATATTACCACCTAAAATATACATATTAGGACCTAAAATAGAGATATTAGCTCATGAAATGTACATATTAACACTAAAAATGTACATATTAGCACCTAAAATGTACATATTAACGCCTAAAATGTACATATTAGCACCTAAAATTGACATATTAGCTCCTGAAATGTACATATTAACACTAAAAATGTACATATTAGCACCTAAAATGTACTTATTAGCACCTGAAATGTACATATGAGCACCTGAAATGTACATATTAGCACATAAAATGTACATATTAGCACCTAAAATGTAGCCTACATTAGCACCTAAAACGGACAAAAGTTTACCTTTTGAAAAGGTACAGCCCCAGTGACAGCTTTTGTACCTTTTTTTCTGAGAGTGTAGCATATAGGCGACCCCCAATACAGCATTAAAATCATCATAATGCTGCTTAATTATTATGCAGAAATGACATACATGGGCATCATTTCCATACGGTGTGACGTCCAGTCATGAGCCGCATCCGTCCACAGTGTTTCAGAGCCTCACTGACTGACAGAGGTTTGACACTGAGCTTTAATTACAGACAAAAGTGGGACTTCGCCGTCAGATCTCCACTTGAGCCTGTCTGGACCTTGACGAGACAACAGTCCACACGTTTCAGATCAATTTATCAGTGTTAAAGTCCCCATCTGCTCTGTGCACGGATCTGTACCCAAAGAATAGCACAGAAAAATCACAAAGGAAATGTATCATCCGTTAGACTTTAAAGAAAAGATCTGGTCACTTAAAACCTATGAATCCCCTTTTTACAAGATGTAAAACAAGTCTGCGATGTGTCTGTGGAGTTTCAACTCAAAATACCACACAGATCTGGCAAGCCAGACCCATATGCAGATGTTAGGTCTGGGAACTCATCATTGGCAGAGCTCAATCCGAGAGCCGGGATCAACGGTTGTCTTTTATTCCCTCTGCACGCAATAGGATAGCGCTACAACCAACCAGCGTTTTCCCTCCAGCTAGTTGATCTAGTCTGCAAAACTACGAACACATTTTTCTTTTTTTAAGAATGACTTAAGTGCTGTTCTTTGCTCTTTTCACATAGAAAAGCTTAACTCCAAGTCCTAAGCCAAAGCCGATTGGAAAGACCGCTGTTCGCCAGCAGCCAACAGCAGGGAACCGTCCAACCCAGTAAGACTTTCGGTCATCTTCGAAACACAAATTAAGATATTTTTGATTAAATCTGAGAGCTGGATCCCTCCTCCATAGGCTTCTTAAGAGATTGAAACTTGCCGGCCCAGAAAAGTTATTAAAGACATCGTTAAAATAGGCCGAGTGACTACAGTGGCTCAAACTTAAGTTTATCAAGCGACAAGAATACGTTTTGGGCGCAAAAAAACAAACAAAAATAACGACTTTATTCAACTATTCATTTCCTTCTCTGTTGGCCTCGAGATTTCACATAGCGTAACAGTGCAGCGCCTCTGGGTTGTACGTCACACGCATCACACACACGACAAGCGTCGGCCAATAGTGAGCCTATGTGTGACGTACAACCCAGAAGCGCTGCGCAGTTGCGCTACGTGAAATCTCGAGGCCAACAGAGAAGGAAATGAATAGTTAAATAAAGTCGTTATTTTTACGCACAATAAGTATTGTCGTCGCTTGATAAACTTAAAGGAGCTGTATGTAAGAAATTTATTTCAAATAATCATAAAAAGGCCCTGATATGTCACTACACTCTTAGAAGAAATGGTTCTATTTAGAACCAGAAATGGTTCCATCCCCCGCTTCATATATGGAACTCCAAAATGGTTTTTGGTAAAAGGTTCTATTGGCCAAGTATGGAACCCCAGGGTTCTATATAGAACCCTTTTTTAAGAGTGTATAGAACCTTTTAGGGGTTCTAAATACGTAACGCTGATAGAACCTTTTAAGGTTCTATATAGAACCTTTTCTTCTAAGAGTGTAGAGTAGACATTAAGAAATCATGTTCATTTCAAATACTTATATCACTGACAACAGCAGTCCGGAGCCCTCAACTGTCATGTTGTGTTTTGGTCTGATGCTCCACCCTCCACCAATCTACCAATCACGAAGTCAGTAGTGTTGCAGCATTCAGGTTGCCAGCTCTGCTCTAGATACAAACGTGTGGGATAAAAAAAATGTTGGATCCTGCAGCCTATCTGGCAACCCCGAGTCAGGAGGGAGGGGGAGGGGATACACCGCTCTACAGTCATTTGAAACTGATTGCAGTACCAGTTTTGGCCACAATCTTACATACAGCTCCTTTAAGGTTGAGCTGCTGACTATCTGACTATTTGAACGATGTCTTTAATAACTTTTCTGGGCCGGCCAGTTTCGATCCTTAGAAGCCTATGGAGGAGTGATCCAGCTCTCAGATTTAATCAGAAATATCTTAATTTGTGTTCTGAAGATGAACGAAAGTCTTGCGGGGTTGAACAACATGAGGGAGAGTAATTACTGACAGAGTTTTCATTTTGGGGTGAACTATCCCTTTAAGCCCGCCCGCCGACTCTATACACGATGTGATTGGCCTGACTAGAGTTTGGTTTTTCCAGCATAAAAGCCAACGGAGAGTTGCTAGACCACCCTGGCTGCAAAATAAAGCTTGCTGCCGCTAGGGTGCGTCTAGATCTCAAGGCTACCAGAGATCATGTATGTGTGTGTTTCTTTAAATGCAAATGAGCTGCTGCGCTGATGAGAAAAGTAGCGCAGTGGAGTGAAAAAGCACATCCTATGGTCATTAATACAGCTAAAACATTTTGGTTATCACGTAGATGAGACATTCTAGCTGATATAAACATGGGGAGGAGCTAAGCTAATATGTTGTGGGCGGGGCCTCTTGCATTGTGATGTCACAAAGCACAGAAAATGCAAACACTGGATATAAAACAAGCAGTGGGTGGATTTCCACCATTATAGGATGGTTGTGTACATACACACATTTATGATCATAACAGGTCCCCTTGAACTGAAAAGTCTGCTGATGTATAAAAGAGCAACATCTGAGTGTTTTGGCTCGGTGGACTCGAGGTTCAACTGTGCCAGCTGAGATTGGCACGTTTCATGCCCTCTATTTCTATTAAGACTTCCGCAGTCCATTTGTGTCAACCTGGAGAATAACCCTCCACTTTCCCTGACACTCACGTTCATATTTCATGCAGTTAATGCCTGTGTGTACTTCTGTTACACACCTGTGTGAATGTGGCGTACATTCATTTAAAAACATTTTAGGATTGTATATTTAACTATGAAAGCCCATTCCCTCCACATTAGAAAATTCCCCCCACTCCTGTTCGTGCTTTGGTAAATCATAATTATGGCATTAAAAGTCAAAACTATTAAACAAAAGGATGAGAAATTCATAACCATGAGCCGAAAATGATAATTATGAGATAAAAGGACATAATTATGACATGCTAAGTCTTAATTATGAGATTAAAAGACAAAAGGTATAAGATAAAGTCATAATTATGCCATTAAGACAAATCTTTGGAATAAAAATGTAAAAAAAAAATGTCACAACTAAGACTTTTTGTCATACACTGTAAAAATATATTGTTGGTTTAACTTAAAAAGTAAGTAACCTGGTTGCCTTAAAATTTTAAGTTCATTGAACTGGAAAAAGTGAGTTAATGCAATAATCATCAGAAACTCAAAATAATAAGTTATCTCAACTAAATAAAATTATTTAAGTTGATTTGACAAAAGAAAAAATGTTGTGATTATTAATTTTTTACAGTGTAATTATGACTTCATTATTTCAACTATTTATATCATTATTATTAAAGTCATAATTTTGACTTTCTAAGTCATCATAATTAGCACTTTTTAATATCTCAATTTCAACCTTTTATGGCGTGGTTTTATTTTCTTGGGTGGAAGAAATGGACTTTCATAATTAACAGGTAGGATATATAAAACTGATTTCACCAAGTGCAACATATTTGTTGATCCTGAATTTCAATCAGCCAATCAGATTTGAGATACAAGTTTGCAGTGTGTGTCAAGTTTAGCTGTTATTCACATATCTTACACTCTGATTCAGGGATAAAGAACAATTTTTGGACAGGAATGTTGTTCTGGGATTAACAAAATACGTCGACCAAGGAATATGTGTGTCTTGTGCCAGATATGGAGCTGAATGTATGCATTTGATGGGATTTCCAGTGCACTAGTTGACGTACCTCTTCCCACTGGTGGATGTAGCGGATGAGCCGGGAGAGACGCAGCAGCCTCAGCAAGCTCAGGATCTTGGTGAAGCGCACAATCCTCAGGGCTCGCGCCGTCTTGTACACCTCCGAGTCTATGCCCTTCTCCACGATCAGGAAGATATAATCCACCGGAATGGAAGAGACAAAGTCCACCACAAACCAAGTCTTCAGGTACTTCTTCTTGATGGTCTTGGGGTCCAGGATGATGTCGGAGTTGTCCTCGATAATGATGCCCGTGCGGAAGTTGAGCACCAGGTCCATGAGGAAGAAGGTGTCGGAGATCACGTTGAAGATGATCCACGGAGTGGTGGTGTCTTCTTTGAAGAAGGTGATGCCCACAGGGATAATGATCAGGTTGCCCACCATGAAGAGAAGCATGGTGAAATCCCAGTAGAACCTGCAGGAGAGACAAGAGAGTCTACTTTATCTAGCACCACTTCACCCTGCGATCTCACTACTGAACGCGTGTTAACGTTGGCTTGATGTTCTTGTATAGTTGTGTCTCACAATGACTGTGTTCACCTGCACAAAACTATTAGGCCGGAGACACACTGGCTGCGTCGCGTTAAAAGGTTCTATCAGCGCTACGTATTTGGAACCCCTAAAAGGTTCTATACATTCTTAAAAAAGGGTTCTATATAGAACCCTAGGGTTCCATACTTGGCCAATAGAACTTTTTACCAAAAAAAATGGTAAAATATGAAGCGCGGGATGGAACCATTCCTGGTTCTAAATAGAACCATTTCTTCTAAGAGTGTGCTGCTACAGTGGTATGAATAAGTTTTGGCACCCATGCTAAAGTTGCCTAAAAAGAGGAATAAAAAATCATCTTTTGGATATTGATCTTAATGCCTTAATTAGAAAAATGAGGAAAACTCCAACCTTTAAGGACACCAATTTTCTTTGTGAATGAATAATGTATCATAAATAAATAAATGTTTTTCCTTAAAATACAGGGTGCATAAGTATGGGCACCCCTATGTCAAATTCTCATAGAGTCAGGCAGATTTTTATTTTTAAAAGCCAGTTATTTCATGGATCCAGGATAATATGCATCCTGATAAAGTTCCCTTGGCCTTTGGAATTAAAATATCCCCACATCATCACACACCTTCCACCACACCTAGAGATTGGCATGGGGTACTTTCCATAAGATCATCTTTCAATGCAAATCAAACCAGCTATTAGGCTAACTGAAGTAAAACCATGCCAATCTCTAGGTGTGGTGGAAGGTGTGTGATGATGTGGGGATATTTTAATCCCAAAGGCCAAGGGAACTTTATCAGGATGCATATTATCCTGGATCCATGAAATAACTGGCTTTTAAAAATAAAAATCTGCCTGACTCTATGGGAATTTAACATAGGGGGGCAATGACTTATGCACCTTATGCATTTATGATACATTATTTATTCACAAAGAAAATTGGTGTCCTTAAAGGTTGGAGTTTTCCTCATTTTTCTAATTAAGGCATTAAGATCAATATCCAAAAGATGATTTTTTATTCCTCTTTTTAGGCAACTTTAGCATGGGTGCCAAAACTTATTCACACCACTGTAGGTGACATAGAGGGACAGTCTTCATTTGAATAAGCGGTGTTGCTCTTGCCTTTTACGACAACAATTTCAACTGTTATCACACATCTCCCAAAATCCAAAAAATATGGAAGTGGGCTGTCTGTTTATTTCAATAACATTTACACATTTTGTGTAGCTTCAACGAACCTATATTTAGCCTGAGGGTGGACCGTCCGTCCCTCAGAAGACACACTATGTTGTTATTGTAGCCTATCCTATCTTTATATCCTCTTGAGGCCCAGAACGTTTTCTTCTTCATGTAATCACATTGTTAAGAGCATAAGAAACAAAAAAACCAAAAAAAGATATTTTATTCATATGTCATGCTATGACCTCTGAAGTGGACACCAGGACTCGATTGTTTTAAAAAAAATAAAAAATCACATGAAATTCTATATAGGCAAAAAAATAATCGATTATTAATATTATCATTATTATTTGTTTAAATTACATTGATATCTGAATTTATGTCCAAACCTAGACTTTCAAACATCAAAATGTAATTTATACAAAATAACATCTAAACATCGTTTCCTATTGTTTTTTACCTATATGTACTGTATTTATTCAAACTTGGGACAATCAAAATATTTAATATTTAATCAAAATAAAGTGTAACCTGGGTTATAGTAGGTATTAATATGTTTGTTAAAATCAGTTCATGTCAGCTCAAGTCCACGATTATTATATTAGCATTCAACTTTAGATTTTAATTATGAAACGAACATTAACTAAGATTACTGAATGCTTTAGAAGTATTTTAATTGTTAGTTCATGTTCACATTTCCAATGTTAACCATTATTGCAAAGCATTACTTGAAAGATATTTGGAGCGAGGAGGATTTTTTAATTTATCAAACATTTAAAGAAACATCACGGCCTGCATTTGAGAGATTCTCATGACCCACATTTGGCAGATCACGTGTGCTTCTGTTTAAAACGTGCGTGAGAGTTAATGAGTCGGTAAACTCATTGTCATTTAAATGCATTGAGAAATATTTCAATCCAATAATTCTAATGACATTAAACATGTCTAATGTGAATAATTAATATGCATATTACTGTGTTGTGAGGATCGTAATGCTTTCAGCATGCATGTCACGCACATTAAACAGGTTTTGTTTTGCACACTATAAATCAATAACATTAGCACTGCAATGATGCAACGCATTATAACACGAGGAGGCTTTATATTGACCTTGTAAGGAGGGCTCGAGTGCCGAAAACCTCACAAGACCCTTGATATTTGAGAGTCTCAAACGGCCGTGACGGGTGCGAGTCGATTCCTGAGGGTCTGAAATAAAGCATGGAGCGGATCTGATCGGTTTCCACGTGGTGCTGCACACGTGTGCAACTCAAGGTCACAGCCGAGCGCTAAGGTGCATGCTGACTCATAACTGAAGCAACAATGGCCGTCTCTTTCTGCGAGGTTTGCACAGCTGATCGTCTCTAAGGACCGTCGAGGGTCTTTGACATGTCAAGATGACATTTGAATGGAGTGGGGGTGCTGAAAAAATATGCATCAGTTTCAGGTTTTTCTATGGAGATGATGCAGGGATGTGTGTATGTTTTTGCATGCATTTTTATAGTTATCTAAAGACATTATGACCCAAACAAAGTCTCAACACCGCAAATTAAAGTTCAGCTCAGGTTCTGGGGCCTTCGATGATTTACATCCCTCATTTAAAGTTACAAAAAATAGGCTACTACTTATACATGTTGCACAAATAAGATTGTGTTTTGGCTGTGGCGCTGAAACATAATAACACTACTGAAAGTTTGGCACACGCCTAAATTATATTTATTGCTTCAATATTTTAAAACACTTGACATATATGCATTATGTGACCATGAGGCAATCAGATTATCTCAGAATGAATGTAAATATATTCAAATCTAATGCAGCATATCGAATAGACCGAATTTCTTATGTGCTTTGTTATGGTTTTCTCATCAACCAAATTTGATAGTCAGTTGAAAATAAATCTAACTCAGCATTAAAAGTTAAACTAACCGGACGACAAAATCACAATGCTGTTGCTTTTTTGCTTTTGTTGTTATAACCACGGAGAGTTAACATCCCTTTTAATATAATACCCATGTGTTCAGGTTTGGCTGCTATTGAGGGCCAGATTGTGCAAGGGTCTTCACACACATAGGCTAGCAAAATATGTTGAAAACTGTCCAGAGATGACCAATAAAGTATTTGAAAGAGTCATAAATCAGTCAAATCATGCTTTTAACACGTTTGTGTGAGGGGTTTGGGGAATATGGGGTTCAAAAGTCCGTCACCACTAATATTTATGATAAAAATATTAATTTGAGAATGCATCTGTTGCTTTAAAGCTGACATAAACAAAACCCCGATGATCATGTCACTAATTATCTTGGTAACAATAACATTAATCAGATTAAGGTAGCCTACTGTGAACTAAAACGAACAAGACATAACATTATTAAATGCATTGTTGTCTGTATTTTGATGTTGTCTTGGTACAAATGAAATGATATGGTTTACTCTGTTTAGGGAGGAGTGTGTCACCTTTTGGGAGTCTTGCATGAATGAATGTCTTGTTTTGTTTTGGCTTATATATTTAGCTGTATAGCACTACTGCATAGCATTTTTTTTTCTTGTGTATTTGTTTTTTGTTTTTTGCTATTTGTTATGTTAAATTCAAGCTGCTGTAAGGTCAGTTTTTTTTTTTTTTTGAATCTAGAATCGAGGACCCCCTCGAAAACGAGATGGCTCATCTCAAGGGGCTATTCCTCTTTAATATAAATGTCAAATAATTGTGCATTGTTAGTCTGCCTTAACCAGAGAGTGAGACCTTATTATTAAGTATGACCAATATCGCTTATGCATACAATTTTCCAAAATCCCTACACCTTTTGGATCCCCTGCATGCACCCCTCATTGGTCAAAACGTCCAAAGTTTCTCTCACCTGAAGTCGCTGTAGGGGTGAATGATCCAGTTTCCCGCCGATTTCACGCGCTCCTGCTCCTTCTCGACCGCCTTCTGGCTCCCGTACATGCGCAGGGAGAATTTATTGACCCCGGGCTGCAACATGCTACTGAACTGCCTGTGCATGAAGCTCGTCTGGCTGTCCCGGCTGTCCCGGGTCTCGGTGTCCTCCTGACCGGCATCCTCGGATTTGAGGAACGTCACCGAGTTCCGGGGCTGCTGTGCGCCGTGGATCGAGGACGAGGCTTTCCTGCTGGGAGCGTTGGAAAAGGACACTTTGGAATCCTTCTTCTCCGGGAAGCCGGGGTTGTTCGAGGCGTCCTGCCCCTGCGTGCTGGTTCCGTCCACGCTGGTCGTTGAATTGCACGCGGTCCGCTTAAACCCGTCCGTCTTGGACATGATGGACCGGAGGCTCCCGGTGCCGGAGTCCCGCCTGCACTCCCCGTTCTTGTTGCATTTCATGCTGGAAAGCGGTGCTGAGGGATTGCCGTCGCCTTCGGCAGCATTACAGGGCTCTACCGTCACGGTGGCCACTACAGTAGACGCTTTGCCTCCTCCTGCTCCTCCGCCCTTGACGGTGTCGTGGCGACCCGCAGCAGCAGCAGCAGCATCACCCGGGCGCGCATCAGTGGAAGTGGAGCTCCTAGACGCGCCTCCTCCTCCTCTTCCTCCTCCTCCTCCTTTAATCTGATGCGCGCTCCCTCCTCCACCTGCTCTCCTCAGTCGCGGATGCTGAAACTTGGATTCCTCCTCCCCGTCTTCCGTCTCCTCCGTGGCGACGTGATTGGGTTTCGGGTTCGAACCATCCGAGTTGGACTCCAGGCAACTCTTAGCGGTGCTTTTCCCGGCGCAGTGGTACGGAGGCGCGCTCTTATGGGCCGCTTTCTTCGGCATGGCAACATCCGAACCGGGCGAGAGCTCATTCCGGTCCATGTCATTCAGCGGATCAGATTTGGCCTGTAATTATCTTTGCGGGAAACCAATCAGAAGGGATGATGAGTGAGTGAGTGAGTGAGTGAGAGAGAGAGAGAGAGAGAGAGAGAGAGAGAGAGAGAGAGAGAGAGAGAGAGAGAGAGAGAGAGAGAGAGAGACCTACGTGATTTCTTTGCCAACAAAATGAAACAGCTTTTAGTTTATTAACTGTTTGTTGGGTCACTCTCTGAGTCTGAGTGCATTTTCCATTTCTATAAGTTATATAGGATTTTAAACACTCTTAACAGATAGGCTAATGTTGCATTATAGCTATATTGTCAAATAATATCTAATAACTAATTCATGCATTGTGCTCAAGGTCATGACACATATAGGCTACAACACGTGACAAACAAATACATGGCTTCACGCACTTCCTAAAATGATGATGTCATTATGGGAACTGCGCATTATTTAATAACAATGTTTGCATATAGACGCACTTTAAATGTTCTAATAATAAAATTTGGATAATTAAAAAATAAAACTTTAGAAAAGCGAGAGAAAAAAAACAATAGGCTAAAATAATATCAGAATTATAGGCTAGATGTTGGAAACACGTCCTCATAACAAGTAAGAAAAATGTTAATGGATTGCTGATGTTTTAACATGCACATATATAATAAGACACGTCATTAATTCACGCATACGAGCTCGTTTCGTTCCGATTCATTTATCCTGTTCACAGACTCACAGTGCTGACTTGATGAAGTGATCAATCTTAACTCTATTGTGCTTATCCAGACATATATAAATGACTAAGGTGCATAAACAGATGGCTGGAATATTTAAAGCTACTATTGTCGCATAAACAGTCTGGCAGTTCTGTCTAAACAAGCAGATGTCATCATCATGGCGTTATGATGTCACAGCGGTAGAGGATGCGCTCAATGACAGGCAACAGTGCGATCCGAGTCAGGCTGATGTGTGGCGCCACCTATCGGCACACACACTGCCCTACAGCAGCTCACACGAGTTAGACCAGTGGTTTTCAAAGTGGGGGCCGCGGCCCCCTGGGGGGCCGCCAGGGGGCGCTAGGGGGGCCGCAGCAAGTTGGAAGAAAAAAATGTAAGCAAAAAAAAATTATATATTTTATAAACATTTAAAAAAAAATACAAAATACATATTATATATTATAAATATTATAATGAAATAGCATTATAATAATTTGTCGCATATCTGAACATTAAACTTTTAATGCTAATCTTTTTGATTGGCTGGTACGCCATCACGTTATCTGTCAGTGTAGCCTTGGTAACAACCGCCAGTGCTCAGCTGTTCAGCTATTTAGCTGGCTAGCTCTGTCAAAATGGATAGATTTTTCAAAAGGAAAAAAACCTGACGAGCCAGCTATCGAAACCTCAGATAAAAAAAAATCAGAAAACGAACTCCTGGCCGAGTAAGACTCGTAGGTATGACGCATGAAGTATATATTTACCTGCTTCACGCAGAAAAATGGACACGAGTGCCCCAAATGCGTTCTCTGCCTCGAGATCCTCTCCAACGAATGCTTAAAACCATCGAAACTTCAACGTCACCTGAACCTGAAGCACCCAGCAGAGGCCGAAAAACCAATCGACTTTTTTAAAAGAAAGGAAGAACATTTGACCAGGCAGGCAGCAACATTCGTGCAGCAAGCTACTGTCCCTGAGAGAGCCTTGAGGGCATCGTTTTTGGCTTCCTTTCACATTGCGCGAGTACTTCACATTGCGCGCGCACATTGACTACCTCATGGGATTTAAAAACTAAATTTGAGTCTCTTTCCCTCTCTAACTACTGGATTTATGTAAGAAATGACTTTCCCATCCTAGCTGAGAGTGCTCTGAAATGCCTTCTTCCTTTTGCAACCACTTATTTGTGTGAGTCGGGATTTTCAACTTTAAAAGTACTTAAAACAAAACACAGAGCACGTCTAAATAATGTGGAGAGTGACATGCGTGTTGCACTGACGGACATAAAGCCCAGGCTTTACAAACTGTGTAGGAGCCACCAGGCCCACCCATCCCATTAATATGCTCTCTCTCTCTCTCACACACACACACACACACACACACACACAATGTTGTTGAATGTTGCCACCAGGCCCAGCCTTCCCATATGTTCTCTCTTCTTCTTCTTCTTCTTCTTCTTCTCTCTCTCTCTCTCTCTCTCTCTCTCTCTCTCTCTCTCACACACACACACACACACACACACACACACACTCTCTCTCTCTCTCACACACACACACTCTCTCTCTCTCTCTCTCTCTCTCTCTCTCACTCACACACACACACACACACCATCTTGTTAAGATCTTTTTCCATTCACTGACACACAGATACAATATTGAATGTTGAAATTACTGTACAAGATATGAATATATGTGAATATTTGACATACAAATGTTATTATTTCAACACCAATAAAGGTTAATGGATGTTCACCTAGTCCTAGATGTTTTATTTATTTATTTCTACATTTGCCGTAGTATTGTCGATGGGTTCAATAACACATCATGGAAAAGGGGGGCCTTGGCCAGAACCTAGTGGTATTTGGGGGGCCTTGTCATGGAAAAGTTTGGGAACCCCTGAGTTAGACAACCACTGGGGTCATAGCATACACACACACCTGTTGAATCTCTTCACAATTAGAGATGCATACAGAGACCCCATAGAGAGAAAAAGACCTCTCGTGCTACTAATAATGCAGCAAAAATGTTCAAAATTATTTTTATATCAAACATATTCTGTAGATGCTAGCTGCAATGATTGTCATGAAAGTGTTAAAAACGTGTTAAAATAATCAGATAAAATGCATGGAAACCCAGTGGGGATATATATATATATATATAGACTAACTCCACATTTCTGTTACAAATTATATTATCAGCATAATAATTTGAGAATGTTATATTATATGCTTGAGAGCTATAAGAGAATTCAGTGCTGATATATCTACTCTCTAAACAATGCTGGGTTATTTTAACCCAAATATGGGTCAAATATGGACAAAGCCAAATGTTGGGTTAAAATGTAATTTAAAAATGTAACCCAATGGCTGGGTTTGTCCATTTTTGACCCAAAATTGGGTTAAAACAACCCAGCATTTTTTTTTTCGAGTGATAGCTTCATATATGTCCTACAATGATGATTAAGAATATATCATTATAGTAACTGCATATTACTTATTAAAACATTTTTATTAACACAACGACAGAAGCAAAAGAGAATTTGTTGGTTTAGTGATCTAGAAATGCTGAAATACTTCAAACATGACTTTAAGAGTCATTTCTGGGTTAAAAATATCCCAGATTTGTATGCTCTCTACTTTCATAGTAGACATATTTCATAACATTGACATCACTCACACAAGAGAAAGCTCATTTGTGAGAAGTGCATCAGTTCTTGAGCATCATCGAGACTCGCAGAAGTCCTGCAGATCTTACCTTGTTATCCCTGACGCTGATGTGGAGCTGAAGCCAGCCAATGCAGACACTGAAGCGGACCTTGAGAACAGAGCCTGGAGCAATGACATTGAAAGGTTGTCTCAGCTCAGCGTGGGATGCATCCCTTCAGCGATGGAGCGCTTGACCTCTGGAGGTCAGTGAGGTCGCCATGCTCCCGAACACACAGTTTAACTGGTTAACCTGAGCAGCTCCGCATTTACCTCTCTTATCTCTCTCTCTCGCTCTCTGCAGAACAGAATGCCGGCACTCACTTCCTGGTATGACACATTTAAGGATGATGCTTTGGGCTTCATTTGCATAAAAGGCAAAGTTCCAAGAAAGGAGAAGATCTGTGGATTGATCCTGGAAGGCTGGAGGAGATCACCAATGATCTCATGTTATTTTTTACAAATCTTTTTATAGGCATTTCAAGTCAAGAAAATTTAATTACCACCCAATTAGCTGAGCAGAACACGAAAAACACACATTGGGACCTTCCTGAGCCGGTTTCACTGATATTTCTGGGTTTTCTGTATCACACACTGGACTGTGAAAGATCAGAAGATCAGTGTTGTTACTGTTAATTAGTTAGTTAGATGGATAGTCAGAGATAGAAAGACAGATTGATAGAAAGACAGATTGATAGAACGATAGATAGATAGAACGATAGATAGATAGATAGAACGATACAGAATGATAGATAGATAGAACGATAGATAGAACGATAGATACATAGAACGATAGATAGATAGATAGAACGATACAGAATGATAGATAGATAGAACGATAGATAGATAGAACGATACAGAATGATAGATAGAACAACAGAGATAGAACAATAGATAGAACGATAGATAGATAGAACAACAGAGATAGAACGATAGATCGATAGATAGAACGATAGATAGAATGATAGATAGAACGATAGATAGAACAACAGAGATAGAACGATAGATCGATAGATAGAACGATAGATAGAATGATAGATAGAACAACAGAGATAGAACGATAGATCGATAGATAAAACGATAGATAGAATGATAGAACGATAGAACGATAGATAGAACGATAGATAGAATGATAGAACGATAGAACGATAGATAGAACGATAGATAGAATGAGATAGAACGATAGATAGATAGATAGAACAACAGAGATAGAACGATAGATCGATAGATAGAACGATAGATAGAATGATAGAACGATAGAACGATAGATAGAACGATAGATAGAATGAGATAGAACGATAGATAGATAGATAGAACAACAGAGATAGAACGATAGATCGATAGATAGAACGATAGATAGAACGATAGATAGAACGATAGATAGATAGAACGATAGTTAGAACGATAGATAGATAGATAGATAGATAGATAGATAGATAGATAGATAGATAGATAGATAGATAGATAGAACAACAGAGATAGAACGATAGATCGATAGATAGAACGATAGATAGATGGATAGATAGATAGAACGATAGTTAGAACGATAGATAGAACGATAGATAGATAGATAGATAGATAGATAGATAGATAGATAGATAGAACGATAGATAGATAGATAGAACGATAGATAGAACGATAGATAGAACAACAGAGATAGATCGATAGATAGAACGATTGATAGATAGAACGATAGATAGATAGAACGATACAGAATGATAGATAGATAGATAGAACGATACAGAATGATAGATAGATAGAACAACAGAGATAGAACGATAGATAGATAGATAGATAGAACGATAGATAGATAGATAGATAGATAGATAGATAGATAGAATGAAAGATAGATAGAATGAAAGATAGATAGATAGATAGATAGATAGATAGATAGATAGATAGATAGAACGATAGATAGATAGATAGATAGATAGATAGATAGAATGAAAGATAGATAGATAGATAGATAGATAGATAGATAGATAGATAGATAAATAGATAGATAGATAGATAGAACGATAGATAGATAGAACGATAGATAGAACGATACAGAATGATAGATAGATAGAACGATAGATAGAACAACAGATATAGAACAATAGATAGAACGATAGATAGATAGAACAGAGATAGAACGATAGATCGATAGATAGAACGATAGATAGAATGATAGATAGAACGATAGATAGAACGATAGATAGATAGATAGATAGAACGATAGATAGATAGATAGAACGATAGATAGATAGAACAATAGATAGATAGATGGATAGATAGAACGATAGATAGAACGATAAATAGATAGATAGAACGATACAGAACGATAGATAGAATGATAGATAGAACGATAGATAGAACAACAGAGATAGAACGATAGATCGATAGATAGAACGATAGATAGAACGATAGATAGATAGAACGATAGTTAGAACGATAGATAGATCGATAGATAGAACGATTGATAGATAGAACGATAGATAGATAGAACGATACAGAATGATAGATAGATAGAACAACAGAGATAGAACGATAGATAGATAGAACGATAGATAGATAGATATATAGATAGAACGATAGATAGATAGAACGATAGATAGATAGACAGATAGAACGATAGATAGATAGATAGATAGATAGATAGATAGATAGAATGAAAGATAGATAGATAGATAGATAGATAGATAGATAGATAGATAGATAGATAGATAGATAGACAGAACGATAGATAGATAGATAGAAGGATAGATAGATAGATAGATAGAACGATAGATAGATAAAATAATAGACAGAGTTATAGAAAGAATGGCAGATAACTAGATAGATTTATTGAATGACAGATAGAGCGATAGAACAATAGAATGAACATCAGATAGACAGACAGATAAAAAAAAGATAGAAAGAACAATGGATAGAATGACGGATAAATCCTGCTTAAGGATCCCAGCGGGGGTGTAAAATGATCATAAAAACTAAAAGATTTTGTAAGATCCCTTCATCCCTCCATTCCTCTACGACCCAATAAACAACAGAAACTCTGGAGTTAGTTTGTGTTTGTGATCTGTGGAGAGACCAATGACAGCTTTTATGACACGTTTCATCATCAGCAGTGATACATTCATTCATTCGTTCGTTTGTTCTTCTCCTTTATTATCATTTACAAAAACAAATCGTTTAACTTTAAATAAGTTAAAAAAAAGTTGCCTTGAACTGAAAGTCACTGAATATGTGTGGCAGACCGAGAGAAGACAACTGAATGTGAGGAGAGATAAAAATATAGTTTTTAAAAAGTGAGAGAAAGAGAGAGATTTCATGGTGTGCCGTCTGGATGGAGGCCCGACAGAGGCAGGGCGGAGCTTCTCGTGATGCTAAATGTAGAAAATCATATCAAATGTCGCCCAAAAAAAAGTCACACTTTGTTCAGAGGTCTAATAATCTCCGCAAAACCAGAAATACTGTGCAATTAAACACTTGTTTTCCTCTGCCACTGATGTTCTTGGATCGCTTGGCTTTTCACACTTATTTTTCACGACTATATGGATGAATCACAAAAAAACATGTCCAGGTTTTATTGAACCGCAAAATTTATTCTTAAAATGGTTATTTTCTGCACGTTTACTCCAAATTCTCATTACGATAGTCCGTTCGATGTTTGTTCCCAATGGTGATTATCATGTGATCTATAAACATGGCACTTCAGTAATGAGAATCCGATTTTTTTGCCGTTACGGGAATGTGTTTGCGCTGTGCTTAATTGTTATGAACATTATTTGCAAAAGTGCACAAAAAAAGGGTTGAGCTTTAGCAGGATACAATTCTTGTGATTTTAGGGTGAAATGTAACCTTGACTGGTATTGTGAGATTCACCCATATCAGCCACTTTTATCCGTGAAATAAAAATCAAATGCTAAAAAACAAAAGGTTCTGTTTGAACGCGTCCCTCCCGAGAGACGCAACGTCTGCTTGTAAAAACGCAGTTCGACTTCAGATCTGCCACCGTCATCATCGTGCAGTTCGTCCTCTCTCTTTTTCTCAGCATTTTTCTCATGCGTTCTGCTGATTAAAAGCACGTCACGCGGACAGGTGCCCAAACCTCGAGGAAGCGTCGCTCCCAAGTTCACCGGTTTAAAAAAAAAAACAAAAAAAAAAAGGCTGTCTGAAGCAATATGAGAGTGTTTTTCTCTTCAGGGTTTGGCGTGGTGCTCTCTGACCTGTGTCCAGCCAGGAAAACATGTGTTAGTGATGAGCAGGTTCATCAGCTCCGGCTCCTGGTTCCAGCGAGTTCTAGATCAGTCCAGGGTGCTGAGATGATGATGATGATGATGTGTTGAGGATGTGGGTTGAGGTCTTATGAGTTATTGGAGGAGTTCTCGTTGCTTGGAGAGCTGGAGGAGGAAGAGGAGGAGGAAGAGGGGGAGAAATTCATCCCTGATAGGCCGGGCGGATCCGTGGCTGTGTTCTGCCCGCTCAAACTCTTCCTGCACACCGGACACGTGTCATGCTGGGAAACAGAGAGAGGACACACGCAATTCACAACTAATGCAAATCTGCATATTAGATATGCATATAAATGATCATGTGAAGACCCCTGAAAATTCAGCTTTGCATCATGGGAATAAATTACAGTTTTAAATATAATTAAATAGAAAACAGTTATTTTAAATTGTAATTTATATTTCACATTATTACTGCATTATTTTTAGTAGATTTCTTCATATGTTTGACATTAACATTATTAATCCTTTAACTGTCACCCCCCTTTTTGATAATTGATATTAAAATGCACTATACAAACTTAAATGGTTGTAATTTAAGAATGCTTTGGAATATAGACCTAAGTTTGATCTTGTTTTAAAGAAAACAAATCAGCGGATTTTACTGAAGTGAAAGCACTTCAAAAAATGAAAGTATGAAAAAGTTATGGAAGTTATCATTTACAGTAAATCAAATATACTTTATTAATATATTTTTTAATATAAAATATTTTTTATTATAAAATTTACTATAAAATGAAAGCGATATATTTAACCAAGTTGTGTTCCAAATTTAAAGTTGATATCACAAAAATTGAAGTTCCCATGGGATTTTGTTTAGGCGTTATACCAAAAATAGCCACCGGGTGCCATTGAATTCCATTGTATGCATTCTGCTATAACAAATTAATACATTTCTATCCAAATATCACTTCTGTCACTAAATATGGAACCTTGAGACACAGACCTTTCTGACAATATGTGTTTTGTCAAGATTAGAAAAGGTTTTGATAATAAATTATGAAAAATGATGGCCAAAGGGGGAGGGGCCTAATAAAAAAAAAAAGCGTTTCGTCCAATTTCAAAACGGTTTTCACAGGATGAATTCTGAGTTCGTAAGCTTTCAAATGATACCTAATTTATGATAACTACTAAATTATGTAATATAATATATATATATATATATATATATATATATATAGAGTTCAGATGCAAAAGCCTCTAAATGCCATTTGAAATTTTCTTCTGTAATGATGATTTTTATCAAACTTGTATATTTAAGTTCAGTAATTTCACTTAAATGGCAATGATAATTACCTATTAATTGTTATTTAAGTGAAATTACTGAACTTAAATATACAAGTTTGATAAAAATCATCATTAAAGAAGAAAATTTCAAATGGCATTTAGAGGCTTTTGCATCTGAACTCTTCATATATATATATATATATAAAATAGTTTTTAGAAGACTTCTTACCTTACTTTTTAAAATATAATTTTATCTTTTTTGATTGACAAATACTAATTGTTTTATTATGAACTTCTAGCACTAAAAACCAAAGTTTCAATTAATAAAAGTGTGTGCGTCGACTTTTTGTGACAAAGATCAGAAACTCCTGTAATGATGTTGATTTTTTGAGGCGCGCTCTTGTCATAAATTCATATATTACTATTCATTCATAATTTGTAAGAAAAAAAAACAGAGCTAAAATATCTATTTAGGAGTCTTAGACCTTTCCAACGATATATAGTTTGTCATGACTAGATCAGGATTTAATAGTATGTATATATAATTTAATAGTAAATATATGCAGGCACAAACATTAGTAAACATCAGCAATGGACACTTTATAGTGAACATGCGGTTCACACAAGCAAGCACGTTATTTACATCCTATTAATGTTCTAGTAATCAAGTTATAATAAATAAAGTTGAGATGTCTGAGATTGACGAGCACATTTCTGAAAGCCTGGTACTTTTTAATTGCAGCACATGCAAATTCATTTTAAAAATGAACAGGGTTCAAAGGTGCTGGATAACAGGAGGGACTCAAATGTGCCAGTTCTCCACCATTATTAACTCCTGCCCTACTGTACAGAACCTAATGAAACTAATCAAATTAATGTCACAAGCAACAAATTGAATCAGACTTTATCTGAATCTCTCATTAATGAACAAATAAATGAGGTCAAAAGTTGGAAACGTCACCTGCTCGAGCCAGGGAACTATACAGTCGTTATGAAAGAGATGATTGCAAGGAAGTTGTCTAACGTTCTCTCCGGCGCTGTAGTCTTCTTTACAAACAGGGCACTCTAGACCAGCACCTGAAACAGAAACAGGAAGTGACAACATCGCAATCCACTATAATTCACAATGTTGATGGTGACTCTGCGCTGAAATTAGAGAAGTGAAAAGACTATATATTTACAAATCGAATGTCTGAATGACTAAAGAACTAATCAACTGCATTATATTTAGTATTTAGGTGCAATTTGTTTTAAATACACTACCAACAACTTCCACAGTTTGGGGTCGTTTCTGAAAGTAATCTCCTATATTTATTTGATTAAAACATACAGTAAAAACCTTCATATTGTGAAATATCATTGCAATCTAAAATAGCTGTTCTTATGCGTCACATGTTTCTTCAGAAATCATTCAAATATGCTGATTAGAAACATTTCTGGTTATCATCAATGTTGAAAACGGTTGTGCTGCTTCATATTTTTGTGGAAACCGTGATACATTTTTTTTAAGGATTCTTTGATGAATAGCAAGTTCAAAAGAACAGCTTTTTTCAAAATAGAAATCTTTTATAACGTAATTTTTAAAAGCTGATAGTCTTTTAAATGACAAAAAGTTATTTTAAAATGTCTTAACTGTCACTTTTAAATCAATTTAATGCACTATATTAATTACTTAAAATAATAAAATATTTTATATATATATATATATATATATATATATATATATATTCTCTTACCCACGTGCTCTTGGTTTATCTGGACAGTAGGAAGACTCTTAATCTTCTCTTTGTCTGCCGGAGGGGGACCCGTATTTTCAAACTGATTTAATAACTAGAGAACGACAACAGGGACAAATATGTAGTATATGATCACACTGTTTCATAATGTTTTTCATACTCATTGTGGTTGTGAAATAAAGAAAGTTACAGCGATTTTATCATAATGCACCACTAAAGTGATCCACGTTACTCATCCACTGGGATAATACCTGTGTTATGATGGCATCTAATCCATTGGCACCCCATGCATAGTCCATTGGGTTAGAATGCAGCATTCCCCTGTAAGACAGCAGTTTATAGTGCAGTGATCAGATCTGAGAAATGATGGAAAGAAAGAGAAAATGTCATCAGACACTCACCACGGTCCCATCGCCATGTTTGGCATCGCTGTCGGGGCGATAATTCCGTTAACTAATTGTTGAATGATTCTGTGAAAACATTTTAAATTGTGACAAAAACATTTCATTTCACGCCTGCTGACAATCAGATTGTGTTATTAGTCTACACAGTAATGACCGTAATACATCATTACCACAGTAACAGTATGAAAAGCAATAGATCGAGCTCTCCACACATTATGAACAAATCATTCCCAGCAATTTTCCAGTTGATTACTAGGTAAGGTTTTAAAAAACAATAAAAAGGAAATTAAGCTCACAAAAGTCTTAGCAAAATTATATTTCATAATTATATACATTTAAAGGTGCATTGCGCAAGTCTGAGTTTTTGCAGAACTACACCCCCTCTGGCGACAAGCAAAACTGCAACCAGAGGTGTGCACACTCATGGACCACACACACACACACACGCACGCTTGCACGAGCCGTTCATAACCAAAGGAGCATCAGCCGCACAAATCTTTTGTTACAGACACATAATGTTTTCAGAGGTAATAAAGTTATAAATCTGCAAGTCATTTTAAATATATAAAAGGAAATGCATTTGAGTAAATTTCACACTTATGTGTGTGTGAGGAGAAAACAGGGGTTTTTGTTTCCATCTATCTCCATGTTGAACTGTTTACTGTATCCACTGATTGTATTATTATGGAAACACGTTCATGAACAATATAAGTTATGACTTCGTTTAGGATCCCGTTTGAGCCCTAGAGCAGAGCGGAGATCTCTCCGTTTGTTGAAAGCCTCCGATGTTGACTCTCGTCTTATTCCGACGCCTGGCACTAAGGTTGGGTATCGAGAATCGAGTATCGATTAGAATCGGGACTAACTTTTCGTTTTTCCCGGAATCGTTCAAAAGTTAAAATTTCGATTCCTAGTTTCGATATTCACAGTCCGCCGAGCGGAAGAAGAAACCGCTGAACAACACCAACGAAGAAGCGTCTACCGGAAGTGTTGGCATAACCACGCGAGTCGAACATGAGTACCTTACGTCGGCGATGCAAAGTGTGGCTTCACTTTTCTAAAAATAACGATATCTCGGCAAAATGCAAAATTTGTGACAAAAGGAGTATTTTTACAGAAGGAGTATTTCCTTCAGAAAGGCCGTTGGCTAAACTTTTTTGACCCTGCCTCTTAAAAGAATCGGAATCGAGAATCGTTAGGAACCGGAATCGAAACAAGGAATCGGAATCAGAATCGTTCAAATTCAAACGATATCCAACCCTACCTGGCACTAGACAAAAGTTTGCGTAGACTAGTTTGCGTTGGGGTTTGGAATGAACTACAAGCCGCTCTCTTTGAACCATCTTCTACTTTAGTGGAATGTTGACTAAAGTTGTGTCGCTCGAGTTGTCTTCGCTGATACGGAGAATGGCGGCGAATACACAAACCTGCAGACATCGCCAGGTGAGCGTGAACGCGCATGACGTCACGCCCAGTCTCAAACTCCGTCCCGAATCCCTCTTATTTATTTCACTGTACAGGATTATAGAGGCGATCGCAGTGATCAGGCCTCATTCAGCCCATCAGGCGATTGTTTAAGCATGTATGCGTTAGAAAAACGCCTATTTTTAACATGAAATGTTGCACAATGCACCTTTAAAATTATATTTACTATATCACAATTTTATTTTCCATTATAGTGGGAATCCTAAATAGATCTTCCATACATAAAATGCAAATAAATCTGAGTAACAAATTCTCACCCTTCTAAAGTGGGCACACCCTCATGCCGCACCCCTTGTCTCCGGGGAACGTGGCGTCCCCGTGGCTGTCTCGACATGTACCGCTGTCGTGAGGCCATCTCCCGCTCTCTACGGTTCTCTGCGTCACGGTTATCTTCCCCGGGCAAACCTGCCCTGAAGTCGAAGCCCTCGTCGAAGATCCCCAGAGCAAACTGCCCATATCCATGCGGGAACGTAAACAAGTGCTGGTCCACATTCTGACGGGTGAAAGGAAATGCTTTAAACAACAGATGATGTGCTTCACACACACACACATGGTTTTCTTAATGTAGCTTAAGTGGCTTTCAATTAGAGCACGACCGATAAAGGATTTTGAAGGCCGATACCGCTACAAATATTTTTGGGTTTTAAAATCCGATATATCGGCCGATATTTTATTTATTTATTTATTTAAAACTGGACATGATAGTCACAAATTTTGTTGCTTATTTGAGTTAAGAGAACTGATGGGGATGTTCTTTTAATTGTTATTCAAGCAATGTATGTACCGTGCCCAACTCAACGAGTGTTGCCAACAGGGACCAGTGCCCTCTGGTGGACAAACTATACAACTCCAACACTCATGACATGGTTGAAGCGTGTTTCGTCCGTTTTTATTTTATTTTTGAAATATTAATTTATCGGCCATTATAACTGCCGATACCGATAGTTTGGAAAATGCCTAATATCGGCCGATAATACCGGTCAGCCGATATATCGGTCTGGCTCTACTTTCAATGCAATATTAGAGGCTTGGGAGAATATTCTACACTATTTAACAATTTACGATTTGCATGCTTGCAACATATTTTCAAATTTTAGTTAAGAGATAACTATGAAAATCTAAATTTTAAAATATGTTGCCCTGGATAAGAGCATGTATTAATGTATGTTGTCAAAGTTTACATTCAGGTTCAGAAATATGAACCAAGCCAGTTTGCACACAGCAGTCAACATGTACTCATCGGCCACAAGCACGGGTAAGAGAAAGGCTGGCTGTACAGCACAATAATAACTAAGCTCTTCAACATAGACAAGAGTCTGACAGGTCACCTCAAATGAGGGGCGATTCTGATCATTAGAGGCTGTAGATGTGGACCCATTCTCTGCACTGGAAAAAAGAGAGAAGAGACAGAGAAAAATGATGAATTAAGGCCAATTCACACACTGCATTGATAGATACAGAACAACGTCATGTCACTTCAGATACTATAAATCTGATTCAGAATGTTCAACCGGCCAAAACAAGCTCCGCCAGACGCCAACACACTGATCTGTTGGTGTGAATTGGCCTTTTTTTCTGAAAATATAATGTAATGTTTCAGTGTCTGTGAGGCAAGACTTTACCTCCCTTCTCCAGGTAACTCCTCGATGAAGCCAGACTCACACCGCGGACAGATGTAATCCTGCAAACAAGAGAAGAGGATGTTATACACACAGCCAGGGTAACATCACTCAACATAAGCAGATTATAATGCTTTTAGAAAATAGCGAGAGAAGCAATATGTTAATATAAAATAAAACTGCAGCACTGTATCTGGTCTAATGTGGCATCTGCAACCCATCCACTCTTGCACTCGGCAGATTTTTCTTCATTCATAAACTTCTCCAAATCCTCAGCTCCTTTACGTGTTTGTATACGCCTTATTCACAGCAGCGCCATCTTTGATTTTTAATGAGAATGAAAGTGAGGCTGTGAGGGATAGACTTGCGTCTCTTCAATGGGCTGTACTGTTATTTAATGTGTTTTCGGATTGTTCTGCTCATGAAACACTGGAGAAATATCTTTTAAAGAAATGTCAGTTGACAAAAAACTCCCGACAATGTAAGCTGTGGAAAATTGTAAGTAATCTAGCAGCTTTTTACAGCGGATGCCATTGGAAACACGGTAAGTCTATCCCTCACAGCCTCACTTTCATACCTGTCATCATGGCACTGCTCTGAATAAGGTCTATACAAACTATTTTGCTGGCGATCTGACGATTTTATATCGTGAAAGATCTTGAAGACGTCCACTATCTAATTAAAAAGCGAATCGTAGAGATTGTGATCTTATATGTCCTCTGATAATGTTAAAATACAGTATGGCTGTGCTGATTGGCCAAATTATATCATGTGTCTTTCATGCGTGGTGATGCAATTGAAAAACAATTCAACAGCAGTAGGGCTGTGCGATGATGAATCAAAATAGTTTCAACTTTGGCTTCCAAAGAATATGAAAACGTGATAATTAGGGCTGGGGTAAACGATTATTAACTAAACGATTAGTTGGGCGATTATTTTATCGATTAGTCGACTAATCTAATGACTAATTGGAAGACTAGTATAAAGAATATTTTTTTCTGCTGCTCAATTAAAAAAAAAAACAACATCTCAAATAAATACTAACATACTGAATTAAGATACTATAAGCTGGCTAACGTTAGTCTAATGTTATGTATTTGAACACCATCATTATAACTCTACAACCGCCAAAACCGTGTTATTAAAATATTTTTTACAAACATTTTTTATCATAGAGAATGTTTAAATATTAATATCAGCTGAGGAGGGAAACGGAGGCGGAGTTCACCTACTGATCAGAGCGCGTGCTGACACGGAGTAAAGCCTTGTTTATACTCGACACGTCCGCACGAGCGCGAATGTGCGCACGCCAAAAATGACGCGTTGGGTGCGCAAGACCAGGAAGACTGTGGCTGTGTACGCCTTTTTTGTAACAACGCGCCAGGCGCCGCGTCCAGGAACAACTTCAAGCCGAATCTGCCCGAGCTTGTACGTCTCACCACACCTGCACCCAGTTTGCGCGTCTAAATTGCATTTTTTTTTTCTTAAGGGTTTGTTTACTGTGTGTGATTCATTTAATGGATAGCACATTCACTTCTAGTTGTCTTCGTCCTCTATTCTGCAATGTTTCGGTCTCCCACGTGTGTGTGGCAAGCTGTACCGCCGGGAACATGCAAAAAATAAATAAATAAAGAAGCGTCGACGCAAAAATATGACGTCGACGCAATTTTCACGTCGAATCATCGACGCGCCGCTACAGCACTAGTGATAATCAAGATAAATGATCATTGTGTCGCATGCATTGCTTTCCTTTAAAGAAAAAAAATCAATACTATTCGAATGCTGTTTGAATATTGCTTTTTTTATGTATATATTTTTATTTTTTTAAATTTAATGCAATCTTTCCTTTTCGCCACCTTGGCTTAAACGCATGTGAAAATGAAATGCCTTTGTTTCATCTGATGTAATGTTTTTGAATCGTAACACAAGTGTGCACGTTATCCACGGTGCATCATCATAACAACTGTCTAAAATGGTCGCCTGAATGTTTAACGACGTAAAAAGCAGCTCAGTGACTGCAGTTCTGCCCGGTTTGGGCTCTTTCTAGAGGCTCCGCACAATAACAGGAGGATAACAACGGCACAGAATGAGGAAGAGACAAGCAAAAGAGCTTTGTGACGCCGTCTATTCTCTGCCCTGAAACCTCATACAAGGAGCAACATATGATGATCCTTTTGGAAAGATCTCATATCTCCTGACAGCTCTGTGTATGAAACAGACAAATTATGTGTCCTGGCTCATTCGTTGTAAAGCGGAGAGTGAGTTAAAGCATTTTTAAAGATCACATCCTCATTTTCCAACTGAGCGTCAGCAGAAAGTTACCAACTTGTGTGTTAAATCCACTCATATATTACAAAATTATTAATCAGCTGATCTCATTACAACCATTTTATGGATAACACAAACTGAACAGATATTGCTATTAGTTAATAAAACTAATATCAACAAGCCTTCAGTATCAACCAACTGAATTACACGTGCCATCAAAATCTCACCAATCTAAAATAATCAATCTAACCCTAACCCTAACCCACACACCAATAGATCTCACGATAATATACAGCTAGCTATACGAATCAAAGATCAGAAACCTAACACATAAAATCTACATTTTGATCTTCTACACATTAGTTATCAGTCTCAAAATATTTAATATGATTATGAATAGTTGACAAATCTAACCAGCAGATCTAAAACAATCAGCTTTCTGTCAACTGAACGACTTCAATCATGAGAAATAGACTGATAAAAACCTTTTATCGAAAATAAGTCTTCAAATAGGCCTAGTTAAAAACACAACTGACCAGCCAAATACAGATCAGAAAAACACACAAACATTGAGAATCAACGTCTCTTCATTAAATAATTAGGCCTAGTTAATAAAATCTAACTAGTCTCTAATAACCACCAGTTTTCCATTAAAGCCAGATTAGTTTAGAAACATTACTATTTTTAATTGGAATACTCATCAAACCTGCATTTAGTTTTTTTTTTTTATGATTGCAGCAAAAACAGTAATAGTTGTGAAATATAATTTTTTTCTATGTGAATAGTAAAATGTAATTTATTCCCATAAAGCAAGGATGAATTTTCAGTATAATTCCCCCATATTCAGTTTCACATGATCCTTCAGAAATCACTCCAATATGATGATTTATTATCAATGAAAGAAAACGGCAGTGTATATTGTTCAAAAGGATTTCTATTTTTTAAGTAGGTGAAATGGTTATTTTTTAACTTATTATTCGTCAATAAATCCTGAAAAAAGTATCAGAGGTTATAAAAAAATATTAAGCAGCACAAATGTTTCCTACATTGATAATAAATCATCATATTAAGAGTGATTTCTGAAGGATCACGTGACAATGAATACTGGAGTAATGATGCTGAAAATACAGCTTTGATGACAGGAATAAATTACATTTTACAAAATATTAACGTAGAAAACAGTTATTTGAAATAGTAATAATATTTCACAATATTTCTGTATTTTCATCCAATAAATGCAGCCTTGGTGAACAGAAAAGACTTTAAGAATAACGACACCACAGATCAGACACCAAACATGGGTTAGCTCTCATAACTAGTTCTCCGTTCTGAACAAGTAAGCTACATGAACTATATAGCCTATATATATACAACACATATGAAACACAAGCCTGAGTAACTGACAAGCGAATATCATCGCGTCAATTATCATTATCTTCTAAAAACTCGCCAGTAAAAGTAACGAGCTCATCATGTCACAACAACCAGTCTGCTTGTGGTTTGACAGGACGGGTTAACGTTATAACATTACACACAGCAAAGCCCGGAGAGCCCGGTTAAATCTGAAAAGAGTTTGTCTGATTAAACTCTCATGTCTCAAATAAAGTGTAATTTCATCAGATCCTCATTTTAATCCTGATTGTTGCTATTGGCAACCAGTTAGCCGTTAGCACAGCTAGCACGGAAAAACGCTTTAAGAGGCCGTTCGAGCCGTAATATCCGTCCACACCGAGTCAAACTCGCCGGGAGAGGCTCGTTGAATCCGCTGCGTCTTACCGGTAGCCGAGGGCTGATCTCTTCTGAACACCGGTGACAGAAGAACCGGCAGGGCCGCGGGGGAGCTTCCGCCATCTTCGCTGCACGACCGACTGAGAGCGAGAACGAGGCGAAGTATGGAAGCCCGGAGGGAGCAAGAACCAATGCTGTGTTGAACGCGTACGGACGACGGAACGCGTTTGGGAAAATACACACAGCGCGAGCCTTTTGATTGACGCGATGAAAAAAGTCTTACAATAAGGACAAAAGAAAACATTCTTGAAACAATATTGATTTGCCCGCACAGTAAAATTTCCATTAGGACAGGCCACTTTAGTCACGTATTTTAACACTTATTTTAGACATGAACATTATGACATTGCACAACATAAAATACAAACGCTGAAAGTGACATCTAGTGGACAAAGTCTATCATTATTTTCACCCATTATAAAAAGATTCCTCAGCAACTAACTGTTCTAATATATTATACTAATTTATAACTAATCATATACCGAGATTATAAAGTTATAATAACTTATAATTCATATAATAATAATAATATTAGGAATGTTATGAATATTATAGATCTGTGTAATGCCATCACAACCCTGCAGATGGTGACAAAGCATTAACAATCATTGAGAATTACGTAATTTGACAATGAAACACAACATGAGCTCATGCACATATGTGATCGCCTTCGTGTTTTAGATTCTCGAAAAAGAAATTCAAATATGTATCGCATAATAAGAAAGCAGTTAAAACAGTTTCTATATGCGAGTTAATATATTTACATAATGTTTGCATGTGTTTTATTGCAGTTCAGACTGTACATTGTCAATTTTTGTTTGAAGTTTAATAAAAGTTCCTCAATTCGATCATCTACGAAATGAAAAATCATGTGTTTAGTTAACTGAAATTAAAACCATAAAAAAATCTTTATGTTACCTGTAATAAAATAGCCTAAACATATAAACTTAATATAAAATAAAATAAACATGTTTTATTTTATAATTGAAATAAAATGTATCGTTTAACTTGAAGTAGCCTAATAAATTTACAAAAACTTAAACTGAAATTAAATTTCCTAAAAAACATTTTAAAAAAGAACAAAAGTTACTAAAACGTTAACTGAAGTAAAAATGGAAAATATAAAAAGAAACAATAAAAATAAAAATTAGAATACACATAACTATAAAATAACAGTAATTTTCACTTTTGGTTGTAGATGACACACAAAAAATAGCATCTTTAAAAACAGTTTTAAAACAAGAAAAATAAAAAAATCAAACGACAGAAACTCTTTGAGGTCACAAGCATGCAAACACACTCTCTCTCTCTCTCACACACACACACACACACACACACACACACACACACACACACACACCTGTCAGCTGCGCTGTGAATGAGGTCTGACTGATGTTGACTAATACATCTGGCTGTCTTCGTGAACTGATGCCAAGTTACATTGGGAGTTTGGCAGAGAGAGCTGAGCGTTTGCACGACTAACCAGACAATAAAAGATACTGTGCAGTTCCCTAAACCAGGGTTTGCATATTTTATATCTTTAAGATGTCATGGACCTCGAAATATGATCATCCTTATATGAGTGACCCACATTTAAAACTCTAAAACCTTTATAAACACCCAATTTATATGCTGAAAAATTGATATTATACATCTTTAAATAGTTTCTATTATATTTTAATAATCTATATATTTTTTCTTCTATTCTTCTATCTATTTTTTTCTTCTCACTATAGTAATGTACTGTTAAATGTATTGAATTTTAATCTCGTTTTTATTTATATTAATCGATTTTTTAAATTGTATATTTCAATCTATTTGATAGATTAATAAACTAATATTTAATAACAGCAATGTGACATTCCATTTAAAACATATTTTTGTTAATGTTTTTATTATTAAGCATTATGAGACATTTTATGGAACATTTTTAAAAATGTACTTGTCACAATGCAAGACTATTTTTAAATAGAACATTTTTAAATGGCAAATTTAAATATTTAAAAACAGAAAAATGGCAAAAGTTTAAAAATAAATAATGAAAAGCAGATACAGCATCTAAAATACACACTTCCTTTTACATTCATATAAATGTGGCAACACTAAGGCAGTATTAGTTTACATTACTTAATTACATTAGTTAACATGAACTAGCAAGTGAACAATTCTTCTAAAGAAATCTTTCAATCTTGGTTAATGTTAATTTACTAAAACATATTTAAGGTCAAATCTTGTATTCTTACTGTGAACTAAGATAAATGTGAACATTTTTATTAACTAACATTAACAAAGGTTAATGTAGTAAAAATGTAAAAAAAAAAAAAAAAACTGTGATTGATCAATAAAATATGGAGTATTGGAGTATTCGAGACACAAATACAATTAAATATATTTTTCATTTCATATCAATCAAATCTTTTGCAATTTAAATCACCAGACGACAGTAAAATAGCAGATTAGTAAATGACAGGAGACTAAAAAATCACGTAATTTGAAAATCAAACTCAACAGTTTCTTTGGTTTTTAATAGTCAAACCAGAAATATGAATATGAAATAAGAACTATATACAGATGGAATATGATTTGAATGAGAAACGACCCCAACATGCTGCTAATAGTAATAATAATAAAAAACCTTTTGGCCCATTTGAAGCTTAAGAAACACAATCTGTAAACAAGAACAGAAATCATCAGAAGTGTTTTATACAATAAAACACAAGTTAAAGTGTAGCGCGAGTCTCAGAGGCAGCGCGTGCATTTGACGGTTTTACTGCCATAGTCCAGACACTCAGGCCCGATGCACTCACAGCAGGCGTTATGAAACCAGCGGTACTTTGATCCGCCCATCGCCTCGCAGTACAGCTTACACTGACGAATGGACACACACTCATCAAAGTAGACCACCGTACACAAGGCATCTGCGGAATGAGACCAGAGCGAGAGGTCACACGTGCAACCCAGAGACACGAGAGGAGAACAGATGAGGAGTGGAGAGGAGATAAGACGAGGAGAGACAAGGAGAGGAGGAGATGAGATGAGAGGAGACAAGAGGAGAGGAGATGAGAGGAGACGAGACGAGAGGAGACGAGAAGAGAGGAGGAGAGGAGACGAGAAGAGAGGAGACAAGAGGAGAGGAGAGGAGGCAAGGGGAGAGGAGGCGAGAGGAGACGAGATGAGAGGAGACAAGATGAGACAAGAGGAGAGGAGGAGAGGAGATGACAGGAGAGAAGGAGAGGAGAGGAGGAGATGAGAGAAGAGGAGATGAGAGGAGACGAGACGAGAGAGGACAGGAGACGAGAGGAGAGGAGGAGATGAGAGGAGACGAGAGGAGAGGAGGAGATGAGAGGAGACGAGAGGAGAGGAGGAGATGAGAGGAGACGAGAGGAGAGGAGGAGATGAGAGAAGAGGAGATGAGAGGAGACGAGACGAGAGGAGAGGAGGACAGGAGACGAGAGGAGAGGAGGAGATGAGAGAAGATGAGAGGAGACGAAAGGAGAGGAGGAGAGGAGACGAGAGGAGAGGAGGAGATGAGAGGAGGAGATGAGAGAAGAGGAGGAGAGGAGGACAGGAGACGAGAGGAGAGGAGGAGATGAGAGAAGATGAGAGGAGACGAAAGGAGAGGAGGAGAGGAGACGAGAGGAGAGGAGGAGATGAGAGGAGGAGATGAGAGAAGAGGAGATGAGAGGAGACGAGACGAGAGGAGAGGAGGAGGACAGGAGACGAGAGGAGAGGAGGAGATGAGAGGAGATGAGAGGAGACAAGACGAAAGGAGAGGAGGAGAGGAGACGAGAGGAGAGGAGGAGATGAGAGGAGGAGATGAGAGAAGAGGAGATGAGAGGAGGCGAGATGAGAGGAGGAGAGGAGATGAGAGGAGACGAGACGAGAGGAGAGGAGGAGAGGAGAGGAGGAGATGAGAGGAGACGAGACGAGAGGAGAAAAGGAGAGGAGACGAGAGGAGAGGAGGAGAGGAGATGAGAGGAGAGGAGGAGATGAGAGAAGAGGAGATGAGAGGAGACGAGACGAAAGGAGAGGAGGAGAGGAGACGAGAGGAGAGGAGGAGATGAGAGGAGAAGATGAGAGAAGAGGAGATGAGAGGAGGCGAGAGGAGAGGAGGAGAGGAGATGAGAGGAGAGGAGGAGAGGAGGAGATGAGAGAAGAGGAGATGAGACGAGAGGAGAGGAGAGGAGGAGATGAGAGGAGGGGAGAGGAGACGAGAGGAGGAGATGAGAGGAGAGGAGAGGAGGGGAGAGGAGACGAGAGGAGAGGAGAGGAGGAGATGAGAGGAGAGGAGGGGAGAGGAGACGAGAGGAGAGGAGGAGATGAGAGGAGACGAGAGGAGAGGAGAGGAGGAGATGAGAGGAGAGGAGAGGAGGAGATGAGAGGAGAGGAGGGGAGAGGAGACAAGAGGAGAGGAGAGGAGGAGATGAGAGGAGACGAGAGGAGAGGAGACGAGACGAGAGGAGAGGAGGGGAGAGGAGGAGAGGAGAGCAGAGGAGGGGAGAGGAGGGGAGAGGAGATGAGAGGAGGAGATGAGACGAGAGGAGGAGATGACAGGAGACGAGAGGAGAGGAGGGGAGAGGAGAGGAGATGAGGAAAGGAGGAGATGAGAGGATGAGATGTGAGAAGGTAGATGAGAGGAGACGAGAGGAGATGAGAGGAGACGAGAGGAGATGAGAGGAGACGAGAGGAGGGAGAGGACACGAGAGGAGAGGAGGAGATGAGAGGAGAGGAGGGGAGAGGAGACAAGAGGAGAGGAGAGGAGGAGATGAGAGGAGACGAGAGGAGAGGAGACGAGACGAGAGGAGAGGAGGGAGAGGAGGAGAGGAGAGCAGAGGAGGGGAGAGGAGGGGAGAGGAGATGAGAGGAGGAGATGAGACGAGAGGAGGAGATGACAGGAGACGAGAGGAGAGGAGGGGAGAGGAGAGGAGATGAGGAAAGGAGGAGATGAGAGGATGAGATGTGAGAAGGTAGATGAGAGGAGACGAGAGGAGATGAGAGGAGACGAGAGGAGACGAGAGGGGAGGAGGAGATAAGAGGAGATGAGGAGATGTGAGAAGAGGAGACGAGAGGAGAGGAGAAGAGAAGAGATGAGGAGATAAAATCAGTGTTTTAACATGTTTTCCTAGATATTTTCAGCCTGTACCCACCATCATGGACAGTACTGCTGCTGCTGCTGGGCAGTGAGATGTTGTGACTCTGGCTGTCGAGTGTCGCCAGGAAAGACACAAGGCTCTCGTGATGGGAAAGCTCCCCAGAAACGGGAAACGACACGACCCTCCAGTTAATGGGTTCGTCGCCTTCGGTCAGAGCGCGGAACAGCGACGGGATTGGTTGGTACAGCTCTTCTACGGTGCTCTTGGAGGTGGCGGGACTGTCATTATAAGACCTTGGGTTACACATTCCTGTTGGCCAGAAGAAATGGAGGTACACCACGATTAAAAAGCCCCGAAAAAGTCAATGACAAGCTGTACAAGCAAACCTGACCACAACTGAAGAATTTAAAGACTTCAAAACACGACTGTCAACAGCAGCTCCCCGTCGAGAGATAAACTGCTGGTAAAGATGGTAATCAGATAATGGATGAAGGTTTTTAATAAGGAGCAGAATGCTGCAGAGACCTTGTGTTTCAGATTAGCTGCCAGGACAGCTGCTTCTGATTACCAGATCCATGGCAGGTTCTGGCCTTCAGGAACAACACACTTTTCTTCTCGTCTAATAAACAGAACAATCTGATGCATGTTCTACTTTTGGGAAATGAATGCATCATGCATCGTGTTTTTGTTAAAAAAATAAATAAATAAAGCTTGCATTAAACATCATTTGTGTGAGGTTTGCAATGATTGAAACAGTTTATCGATGTAATACACAGGGGGGGACGTGGCATCCAAAACCTTTATTTTCCCAAACCTCTCTACTTTATAAACTGCTCGTTGTGAACGATATGTTTTAAACTTTTGTCCTCTCATCGGCTTTTACGGCTTTACTCTCATCGGCTTTTAGCCGTAACACAGAGATGAGAGTTTCTGGATCATCTCACTTCACACTTTATACCGCTGTCAGGAGTGTATACTCGCCCTCCTGTCATCTACAAACCAGTCCTAATATTTACAAGGGCTTCACCGGACTGGGAATGAGCCAAACCTGTTCACACAACCTGAGCGTCTTTAGTTTACAGTCTCGGATCAGCTCGATATCATCAGAATATGTTCTTATAATCATTTCATTTTTAGGCCCCGTCAACACTACTGCGTTTTCGTTGGTCTAATTACACACATTGTTACCTAGTCAACCGTTATCTGAGATTTGTTTTCATGATTGCCGAATGTAAATAGTTTTTATCTCTAAAAACAGTTTATCCTACAACGCTGGTATAACGCTAAAAAAATCGCTTGTTATTACCACTAACAAGGCTCAAAATAGCCCCACGGTAGCATAATAAGTGTCCCTACATTCAAACCGAAGCATTGAGAACTTTGTCAGTGTCCAAACAGTTTAATAAGAAGATATTTTATACATACAGTCAACTTCGCGAATACAGGAAGAAGCCATCTTTGAAAAATAGTCTCTACTAGTCGATCTACGAACGCCGATCCAAGTGTGCTGGTGAGATGTGAATAAGGTGATAAGGTGAGCGCGAACAGAAGGCTACATGTACATATTGAAGAGCAGAAAATGGTTCGTGTTTGTGTTTCTTCTGGAAACAACGGACCATATGAGATTCTGCACAGTTCAGCGCACTTGGATCGGCGCTCGTAGATCGACTGGTAGAGACTATTTTTCAAAGATGGCTTCTTCCTGTTTTCGCGAAGTTGAATGTGTGTATAAAATATCTTCTTATTAAACTGTATGGACACTGACAAAGTTCTCAATGCTTCGTTTTGAATGTAGGGACCCTTATTATGCTACCGTGTTACTGTGGGGCTATTTTGAGCCTTGTTAGTGGTAATAACAAGCGGTTTTTATTTGTCATTACTCTATGCACTAAGTTATATACTAGCGTTATACTAGCGTTATAGGCTAAACTGTTTTTAGAGATAAAACTATTTACATTCGGCAATCATGAAAACAAATCTCAGATAACGGTTGACTAGGTAACAATGTGTAATTAGACCAAAGGTTTTATTTTGCGCCGGTGTTCTGACAATTCATGCTACCCATTGAGATTTCCTAATTACCGGTTATGCGCATGTGCAGACTCACATTTTTTTTTTTTTTTTTACAAAAGGTACATTTTCCTGTTATAATGTATAATTTCCCTTTTAAAAATGCTTACTACCATATGAATATTTGTACGGTCAGCCAGCTGAAAAGGAATAACTGAAAGTTTCAGTTACTATAAGAAAAGGTGTACTTTGACAAGTCAAAGATGAATATTTTATGATAATTTTTACTTTTCACACCGTTTTAAAAATAAAAACAGTAGTCCACAGTATACAGTAGCTACTCATAACTTAGAATTGTACTTCATACGACTTTAATCGGCATTCTGTGATCAATTCGCGCTACGGTAGCATTTTTCGACAAGGCAGCAAAAATCGACAGAACACCGGAGTTATCCTTTAAAAAACAGACCTTTTGCTACGTTTGCACCTCCCGTCCAGACTGAAATGGAAAAAACGAAGACCTAAAACGAAGAAGTTTAGAGATGCTGCAGCTCCGTTTTTTGTTTTGAATCTCCAGAGGTCTTATGCCTGGTTCAGATTACACGATTTTTTTTGTCTGTTACGATAGTCACTGTGTGAAATTACGCGATTTTGACTTCCAAAATTTTGACTCCTAAAAAAAATCTCCTAAAATAAAACTAAGATAAAATATGACTAGTTCCGAAATGGTATATGGTGGGGTCCGGATAACAGGATAGTACCGTTTTAAATGTTATTGTACATGGGCCAGTTTTGTGAGTTGTGATTGGATTTGAAACTCACCGACACAGTCGCAACACTCCTCCCAGAGAGAGCTCAAACACAGCATACACTCTTTACAGCACGAACAGTTCCCCTCCGTCGGCCGGCACTGACAAAGACCCTGTACACACACACACACACACACACACACATACAGGTAAACATACAGGGGGAAAAAATGACATGATGTGGAGGAAATCTAGCTCACATAAACATGATCACCAAACACAGACCTGTGAATCTCGAAGGAAACATCAAGATCTTTCAGCTGTGACGGTTAAAAGGAAACCACCCAAAGAGACAAAGCATACTTGAACATGAGAAATAACACCAGGCTGAAAAGAAACAGAGCTGCGAACTGTTCCACACTGGGAAAAAAAACGTCAAATGCCCCGGCGGAGAGGGGAAAAAGAGTGACCGAAACCTGGGACACATTTAGAGTTATAATTACAGAGAAAACAGCAGCCAGCTGAATGAAGGAGAACACAGACACACACATTTGGCTCTCTGCGTTTCGTGTTTTGCCAGCAGTTGCGAGGAAGAGGTCAACTTCCAGATGTGTATGTGTGTGTGTGTGTGCTATTAAAACTGAAAGTTCAGGAGGGGGAAAGTTACAATAGAAACAACTTCAGAAAACCCAATACCTGAAAACACACGTGGCCCAGATACTCCCAAAAGAAACAAGCCCAGACAATTCCCGGTCCCTGCCCAGTCCTCTGTAGTTGGGGGAATTGTGTGTGTGATTTTCATGCATTCCTTAAAAGAATCGTCGAGCCAAACAACATAAAAGCCATAAAAGCTCTGTTTACTTCATTTCGAGACACTGAAGCACGACCTGTACGAATACAAACTCATGCTTTACCTGGAAACAATCCACAGATTCCTGTGAGAAAGAGATGATTCTGCCCAGCTGTGAAATGAAGGAAGAGTCACCAGCTTCCTATGACTATAATGCGCGAGTCAATTGGGATCCAACTAATATACGTTATCAAAGCTAATGTACGAAGTGCCACTCACTTAATAAATAAAAATGTATTTATTTAATGAATTAAAAAAAATGTTCTTATATAGCCTATAGGGAGAGCGTATACACATATACACCCAACTCAGAAACCGAAAAAATGTACTTGCATGGTGTCAAAACACTCTTTGTTCAGTATCGTCGCGAAATATTATCAAAACTTTCCACAAATTCGCGGGAGACCGTCTTCTGGCAGTGAGAGAAAAAGAGCAGAAAGACAATCTTCTTGAATAATTTTTCCCATAGGGATTTTTAAAAAAAAGTTTATTGCAAAATATGCATTGAAATTAGTGCTGTCTAACGACTAATATATTTAATCACGATAAATCGCATTAATGGCATAGTTATAGGAGAACTCCGGCGAACAATGAACCTTTGGTCTAATAAAACATCGGTACCTAGTCAATCGTTCTCTGAGTTTTATTTTCATGATAATCGAATGTAAAGAGTTTTATCTCTAAAAACTGTTTAGCGTATAATGCTAGTAATGGGGGCATTGACTAAGTAAAAGAAATCACTAGTTTATACCACTAACAAGGCTCAAATAGCCCCACACTAACGCAGAAACATAATGAGGCTCCATACATACAAAACGAAGCATTGAGAACTTTGTAAGTGTACAGACCGTTTAATAAGAAGATACTTTATGAAGACAGTTCACTTCGCGTATACAGGCAGGAGCCATCTTAGAAAATAGTCTCGATAAGTCAAACCACGAACGTCGTGCTGAGTGATCTGAACTCTATGAAGTTCAACGAACTTCTGAACTGTATGAACGGCGTTCGGGGATCGACTTATCGAGACTATTTTCTAAGATGGCTCCTGCCTGTATACGCGAAGTGAACTGTCTTCATAAAGTATCTTCTTATTAAACGGTCTGTACACTTACAAAGTTCTCAATGCTTCGTTTTGCATGTATGGACCCTCATTATGTTACTGCGTTAGTGTGGGGCTATTTTGAGCCTTGTTAGTGGTATAAACTAGCGATTTCTTTTTACTTACTCAATGCCCCCATTACTAGCATTATACGCTGAACAGTTTTTAGAGATAAAACTCTTTACATTCGATTATCATGAAAACAAAACTCAGAGAACGGTTGACTATGTACCGATGTTTTATTAGACCAAAGGTTTATTGTTCGCCGGAGTTCTCCTTTAACTCACGATTAATCGCAATTAATCCCACATTTTATCTATTCTAGATGTCTTTTGTCCCATTATTTTTCTCATTTTAATGCTCTTATCAACATGAAAAAGTGGATCGGCTTGCTTTGCAATGCAGTTCATAACGTCCCAAAAAATTTGGCGGTAAAAAACTATTTAAAAGTACACATTCTATTCAGAAACTTATTGGCATCCATTTCGGCGTCTCGTGTTCATCGTCCACTCAACCTACTATTTGGCCGGCTCGCAACAAGTGTGTTTCCGGTCTAGATCCGGTGCTGTCAGGACGCGGAATGCGCGGCACTACGGCAGTTTTCAAAACTTTTTGGATGGCAAAAATTTCTATTGGGCGGGCTGGTAATCGTCACAGCGGCAAAAGTTGAACTATTTTGAGATTTGATCGCGTTGTTTAGCCATTGAAATGAATGGGTTTTTATAGTCCAGTGCCGCCGTCCTGTTGCAAAAGCATGTAAAAAAAAAAAACGACAAAGTTTGCTAGGCCAAAAAGATCGTTAATCTTGCGATAAAAAAATTAACCATGTTAAAATGGGTTTGCGTTAACGTTGTTAATAACGCGTTTAACTGACAGCTTTAATTGAAATATTTAAATATTTTGAGTGTATTGGAGATTCATTCGCAGTGCTTCATGGGAGTGGGAGGAGCTAAAGAGCTATTTTGGCAAGTGCTGCTTTTTTTTTGAATGATTGTGTAATTTTCTGTAAAGCATCATGGGTAATGTTTGCCTGACGTCATCAAACTCAGACTCCAGTCAGCATGTGAGTCTGATACGGCTCCATTGGGCTGTGATTATGGGCCGTGTTTTAACCAAACCAGGAAAGAAAATGAATGCGCTGTCGATATCTTCTATAACAGACGCGATGGCCGAATCTACACATCTCAATTCTCCAGTGGCGGCCATTTTTGTTGTAAACGAATTCAACCCAAGCGCTCTTTGGTGACGTGATGATTACGTTACGGTTGATCATCTGTCCATCATCGGATAAACCCCGCCGTGACGATTTGATTGGTCCGAACAGCTATACTCGCTTCACAACGGATCAAGTCTAGTCCGAACTTCCTATCCTCGAATGTTGTGGGCGGGGCTAAGCTCGGCTGACGTCCAGGCTAGGGTTATGTATTTTTTCACCAGGAATTCCACTATTAAACACGATTAATTTAAAAATAAGCTGAAATAATGTGGGCTTACGGCTTCAACACGAGCAAATACCATCGATTAAAAACCTTGTAGTCTCACAGGTTTATAAGTTATAGTTCAAAATCAATTTCCCTATGGAGAAAATGAATGGTTTTTACTTCATTACAGTATTACAGTTTTAAACAGTAAAATTCACAGGTAGTTAATTTTTTTTTAAATGTATTTTTTTACTGAAAAATTCTGGCAACCACAGCTCTGTTTGTTAAAGTGAGCTGTTATTTACTGTTGAGCTGCGAGTGAGGTGGAGTGAAGGGCCGTTCAGACAGGGGAAAGTGTGTGTGTGTGTGTGTGTGTTTGTGAAAGTGCTCTGAGCGGACAGGACGTGTGCCGCCTTGCCCCACAAAGCATTCATGTGTGACTAAAACAACCTCAGCTGCCCCACCAGGAGACACACAACTGACAGCCGACAGCAACTACACACACATATACACAGAAACTTCTGAACCACCAGTCAACAGCCTGTCAAACACACATGACACCAGCTAACAACACTAAAGCAACTTTCTAAAACACATTAGCAACTATACTCACAACCACACAGCAATAGGGATGGGCACCGATTAATCGCGATTAATCGCATCCAAAATAAGTTTGTGATTACATAATATATGTGTGTGTAGTGTGTATAATTAATTTGTATATATAAATACCCACACATGCATGTATATATTTAAAAAAAATGTGTTATTGATATATCAAAAAAATTATATTAATATATAATATTAATTGTGAATATATATATATATATAATATATACATGCACATATTTCTGGGTATTTATATATACAAATTAATTATACACACTACACACACATATATCATGTAAACACAAACTTTTATTTTGGATGCGATTAATCGCGATTAATCATTGTCCATCCCTACACAGCAATGCCCGAGCAACTAAGACTAGGCGATGAATCCAGATTGATATGTATCTGATATCATTAATATCATTAATAAACCTTAGCCTACATCTAAATATCAGGCATTTAAAGTTATGACAGATAAATTGTTATTATATAGTAAAATGTACTTCTCAAAGTTATAATTATAATAATAACAACAATACAATACATTTTACTATTATTATAAGGAATATAACCATGATATTCTTTCATCCATGTTTTAATTGTTTACTGTTTGACACAAACACCTTATTTGACAAAGTATAAAACAATTTAAATGCAATGTTTTGTTGTAGATTAATTTTATGAAATCATTTCATTAGATTTTTAAAGATTTGTCAAATTCGATGATTATGATATACAATTTGTATTAAATCATGAAATAAAATGAAAACTGAACATTTGTACTAGGGAGTAGTATTATTTATATACTATTAAAGTATTTATTGACATTTGAATTATTATTATTTTTTAATGTTCATTTTACTTTTAGTTTACAATTTGCTAATTTTGATATGTGCTTTTCTCATTTTTATTAGTATTATTTTTATGTGAATATTTCAAATTCTAATCTTCTAAAGTTTATCATCTAATATGTACACTATATTTTATATCAGCTTTATTACAGTTAAAAACGTTTTAGTTATCAATACCAACACTGCATTTATTCTTGAGGCCATGTGGAACGCATTTCCTTTCCCATTAATGACATGAAATACAGATAAATATCAATCTTGAATGATATGATGGGCCACAGTGTCTCGCCTGTTTACTGCAGTAAGATCATGAACCTCCTGTGTGTATTCTCCAGACAGATCTCTAACACAGGAGAGACGCCCGCCTCACGTCCCCGTCTGTCTGTCTCGGTCTCTCTTCCTCTCACTGGGATACACACACACTAGAGTAAACACAGCAAGAGCAAAGAGGGATGCGCCAGATCTAATCACACACACACACACACAAGAGAGAGAGAGAGAGAGATGTAGGACATTCCCAAATGTACTATGATGCTGAAATCCTGAATCATAGTTTTGATATGATACTCATCAAAATAACAGGATATAACCATTTCAAAAAAACGTGTGTATAATATAAACCGGGCAGACATCTACATTTAAAATGATCAACACTGAACCACACGAGCAACAGAAAGTGCTAAAAAGAGCATACATTAAAACACACATACAGTACAGACACAGAAACACACACTGACATGTTTTTTGTTTTTTTTTTATATTAGTGACAACATTGCATAGATTTTATCAGGTTAATGATATTTTCTATTGCCAAACCCAAGCCCTCCATCACAGAAACATGTACAAAACACCAGATTTATCGATTTATAAGCCTTTTTAAATAGTGAGGACCAGTATAATGTCTACTTTTGGCCCTCACAAGTATAGCTTAACCTGTACACACACACACACACACACAGGTTTACTATCTGGTTCTGGTTTACTATCTTTGTGGGGACTCTCCATAGACTTAATGGTATTTATACTGTACAAACTGTATTTTCTATCCCCTTACACTAACCCGACCCCTAAACCTGCCCATCACACACAACTGTCTGCATTTTTACATTTCCAAAACAACTGATTCTGTACGATTTATAAGCTTGTTTACTATTTCTATTTACGGTACACTCTCAGAAAAAAGGTACAAAAGTTGTCACTGAGGCTGTCTCTTTTCAAAAGGTACACTTTTGTACCCAAAGGATGCATATTGGTACCTTAGTGGTATATTAGCACCTCAAATTTACATATTAACACCTAAAATATACATAATAGTACCTAAAATGTACATATTAGTTCCTCTAATGTACATATTAACACTTAAAATGTACATATTAGGACCTAAAATGGACATATTAGCACCTAAAATGTACATATTAGGACCTAAAATAGACATATTAGCACCTAAAATGTACAGATTAACACCTACAATATACATATTAGTACCTAAAATGTACATATTAGGACCTAAAATGGACATATTAGCTCCTGTAATGTACATATTAACACCTAAAATGTGCATATTAGGACCTAAAATGGACATATTAGCACCTAAAGGTACATATTAGGACCTAAAATGGACATAATAGCACCTAAAGGTACATATTAGGACCTAAAATGGACATAATAGCACCTACAGGTACATATTAGGACCTAAAATTGACATATTAGCACCTAAAATGTACATATTAGGACCTAAAATGGACATAATAGCACCTAAAGGTACATATTAGGACCTAAAATGGACATAATAGCACCTAAAGGTACATATTAGGACCTAAAATTGACATATTAGCACCTAAAATGTACAGATTAACACCTACAATATACATATTAGTACCTAAAATGTACATATTAGGACCTAAAATGGACATATTAGCTCCTGTAATGTACATATTAACACCTAAAATGTGCATATTAGGACCTAAAATGGACATATTAGCACCTAAAATGTACATATTAGGACCTAAAATGGACATAATAGCACCTAAAGGTACATATTAGGACCTAAAATGGACATAATAGCACCTAAATGTACATATTAGGACCTAAAATGGACATAATAGCACCTAAAATGTACTTATTAGCACCTAAAATGGACATATTAACAGCTAAAATGTACTTATTAGCACCTAAAATTGACAATTAACATTAAAATGTACTTATTAGCACCTAAAATGTACATATTAACACCTAAAATGTACATATTAACACCTAAAATTGTGCATATTAGCACCTAAAATAGACAAAAGTTTACCTTTTGAAAAGATACAGCCCCAGTGACAGCTTTTGTACCTTTTTTTTCTTTTTTTCTGTCCCCATGAAAGTGTGTGCATTCAGGTTGAAGTCCCCATCGGGATATAAAAACATGAACACACACACACACACACACGCTCAAGGGAAAAAGTGATCCAGTATAAAATGCGTTCCACCCAGTTGCCCTCTAACACTGGGCATGTGTTTGTCTGCAGTGGAGATCACAAACACACAGAAGAACACACACTGATCACAATCGTACAATTTTCTGCTTTCCTTTGAACAGATTGTGTTCTTGACTCCCAGAGATGTGAATGCACCTTTCTCCATTCTGGGAATATGATTTTAAGATACCACACACATCCAACTTCAGTTCAAAGATACCAAGGAGGATTTTAACACACACAAAAAAAGAGAAAAAATCCAAACCCTAAACAAGGAATCTTAGTTAATGATGATTAGATTTCCTAGTGTAAATATAAACTCAAACCGCATCATGCATGAAGTTGATGTCCGACCGATAAATGTACATCACTTTCCAGGCATTTGTGATAAAGATTTTGATGGATAATCCTTTTTCTCCGATTTTTTGATATTGGATGAAATGTGACTTGTGAAATTCATATTTGCGATATTTCAATATTGCGACCTGACCCGGTGTGATGATAAGTGAGCATGTCTTACCTGTAGAAGACATTTGCTGACATCACTGGCACACAGAGCTTTGTTACAGCCGTCGATGACGGTCAGTCCAGACAGAAGGAATAACAGAGAGATCAGGACGGGACAGAGGAACAGAGCCGGACGCATCCTGACCAAAACCACACACACCTGAAGACAACAGCGAGAGAGAGAGAGAGAGAGAGAGAGAGAGAGAGAGAGAGAGAGAGAGAGAGAGAGAGAGAGAGAGAGAGAGAGAGAGAGAGGTGGGTGGGGGTAGAATGAGATGAAGAGAGAGAGGGGGGGGGATTATTATATTATATTATTATTATTATTATTAGGGATTATTATTATTTTTTAATATTAATAATATATATTTGTACACCATGACACCATGCATACTATGTCAATAGTATTACTATACACCATCCATGGTACATTTCTAAAACTATAGCATATCTTTGAAATACATATATATAGTTTTTTGTTGTGTGTCCACAGGACAACAGCTGGTTCGTAATTGTTTTTTTTTTTTACTTGGAAAATATGATCCAGCTACGTCACATTCAAGCAAATTAAACGCAGATTTGGAATGCAGAAGACTGCGAAACTTTTTGCTGGCATAATGTTGAACGTTTCTTTCTTTCATTTGAAATACTGAAAAACATAGAAAACGCCGCAAACACATTATATAGGCATTAAACCCCAAACTGACGTCCAAAAGCGCTGCTGTTTCTCAAACATGACGCAAAAAAACACTATGGATTATCACGTCACAGATTTGGCATATACGTCACATCTTTACATGTATTAATTTGTCAAATAAAACATACATACTCACTGTATGACTTTGAAGCGTTCTCAACACTTTCCTTTGGTTTTTGGACTTTCTCTCATACGGATCTCTTGTCTTGGCTCCTTTTACTCTGAATAGAAACATGAGCGGCTTTGATACATAGAAGTGGAACAAGTGAGTAGAAAGGCAATTAACGGAACATACGGGTCCTGGAGGGGGCGTGGCTTAATGCCCCGGATCTTGTTTTTTTTTTTTTTTTTTTTTCTCAGTTTGATACCACGGGTATGGTATACACAATAATTCTTCTGTTTTAACTCTTCATTATGTATTTTCAATTAAAGCTCTATTGAAGTTTCCCAGTGTTATTGTTCAGATGTGAATTTTACCTGCTAAATCAGGAAGAAGCGCACGATCGAAGTCACGGAAAAGCTGTTACTTTTCTCAGCGCTGGTCGTTTCGACCAATCACAGTCGCCTGTGCGGATCTATAGTCACGTCAACTAACTTACAAACAAACAAACGAAAATACCAGTTGGCATGCATATGTCTTCATCAGTCAAAACCCAGCAAGCAATTTTGCGTTTAAAAGACGACAAATAGCCGTCCAAACACAGCCCAGACGTCTAAAACAGGGCAAAATTTGCCCAAAATTACATAGCCCAAAATAGACTAGTAATTAGATAACAAATGAGTGAAGAAATCACCCCAACTTTGCTTACATGATGGAATATCGTACATTTCGCAAGTTATTTTAACCAAAAACGACAATTTCAAGGTTATTTGGGCTTGAAGGTTACTCATAGGGTCTAGACGGTGAAATGACGTGTATTGTGTGCTGGGAAACGTCCTGATGTCTGAATTCCTGAAATATGTATGCTGTTTAGATATAAAAAAAGAATAAATACTCAACAATTGTCCCCTCCTACTATAGTAAGTCCTTATTTAGGTAATATCTGATTTTCCCTTAACGCAAAGAGAGTTATTTCAAAGAAATGATGTGTCTTTGCCTATCATTTACTCATATTAATATGATGAATACTAGATTCCATGGAATCGTTCTACAGAAGATATTGTGTGGAAAAAGGTTTGGCTTATACCTTATTAATATTTAATTACAAACATAGTTAAGGAGGTATCATACAAATTGATACATAGCTATTTGAATATATCCTGTAAAACCTGATTTTTTTTTTTTTTAAATCTGAATGCATCTCAATGGAAAGATGTGGTTTTGAGCCTCTAAGCGCCCCCTAGAGGAGGAGAACTGTCTCACACCAGCCGCCCAGTGAACTCTGATCTCAGCCGAATGAGATCCCAAAGGATAGTTCACCCAAAAATAAAAATGTTGTTCCAAACATGTATGAGTTCATTTCTTCTGTTGAACACAAAAGAAGATATTTTAAAGAATGTTGTTGACTAAAAGGGTTGATGCCACCCATTGATAACTTCAATAGTAGCAACAAAAATATTTCATTTTACTCTGGAGGTTAACTGTCTCCTTACCAACATTCTTTAAACTATCATCTTTTGTGTTTAGGAAATAAACTAATACAGGTTTGGAACAATTTGAGGGTAAGAAATTTTATTTTGGGGTGAACTATCCCTTTAAAGACACAGGCAAGAGTCAGATCAATCAGTACCGTGTCTCCTAATAAAATAAATTGTTTGGTCTTTTCCTCATTTATGCGAGTTTGAATTAAAAGGATCTGCCAAAATGTTTAAAAGTTTCAGAAAGTTCATGCATTAAAGATCTGGACTACCGTTTATCCAACAACAACAACAATAATGATATTATTAATTATACATATAATATTATAAAATATGTTTCAATATTCATATAGTGCATACAGATATACAATGTACAAGACTAAACTACATTTATTTTGTAGCCCTCAAACCGTATTCACTTTATAGCCCTTAATCCTGTAATTGTGGACAAATGTGGGCACAGAGGACTCAGGTGTGATCCTAATTTTTATTTATTATATCACTGTCTTCATAAAGTTTCATCTATCCATTTATGGTGTTTTTTATTTTTATTTTTGAATTTATTTACTTCAAAAGTACCATATTTTCTATGTAAATTATGCTTATTTTTATGTTTTATTTTGTTAACTACATTAAAATATCATTCCAATAAGTTCTTAGAGCTAAAACCTAAAGATGAAGTGACTTTGCCGTCACCTGGTGTCTTATTTTGGCTTATTTTAATGCTCTAAATTACAGTTTTTCCCATTCACTTCTATGGGTGCCCATTTTTGACCCAAATACAAGATTAATGAGGATTTTTTTTTCACCCACTTAACATTGTAGAATTGAGTAAAAAAAATTGTGTGTGTTCAGGAGGCAAACTTAGGAAAAGTAGCCAAGTCTTGTACCGCTCAGATCATGAGAAGTATTTTTAAAAAAATAAATCAAAACTATTTTGCCCACATTTGTCCAGAATACGGTTTTAGGGTTAAAGATAGTCTCTGATGTTGATTAATAGTCTTTAATTTGTCCACTCTGCCCTCTGCTGGACACTCTTCTTCAAACGGCAATATTTATATGAGCTTTTATGCAGATTATAGGAACATTTATAAACACAAAAGAAGAAGAGCAAAACAGTTTTTGATTTCACAACCAATAAAATTTATTCAATTATATATTACAAATATGTACATCCTCATGTAACAAGTAAATATTAAAATAGACATATTTTTAGAACCATCGTTCAAAAGGCATTACGTTGTAAAAAATAGGTTTCGTTGTGATCTCACATTAAAACTGTAAAAGTAAGGGTATTTTTTTTTCCTATTGAGAAACCACAACAAACTTTTCATTTTTTTTGTTTTTTAAATGTGCGCAAGACACAAGAGACGACACGCAGGAAGTGGATGTTACTAACAGACACGAGAATGGCGTAAAAGAACCAGGACCACTTCAGTAAACCTCACCACGGTACAACTTTTCAGAAAGGGACGAACCTGCGAAAGCATGCACATTATAGAAATCACAAGTCAAAAAACATCGGCTTTGATGGATGTCAAAGGGATAAAAGAGGAATTAAAAAAAATAAAATAAACCTAAACAGAAAAAGCATTTCAAAACACATGCTTAAAGAGTTAAGCAAACATCAACAGCAACAACAACGAAGAACTTCAATGTAAAAACAACTTTGGTCCATTAAACATTAGACAAAACAAAGTTTACAATCAAAATATTTATTACTTAAACTTTTTCCCGTCCTCTCGGTTTTCTTTCATTTTTTTTTACAAGTTAAAAACAATAATTACATGGCTATTTACAAATGCACAATCAGTATGTATAAAATAAGTTAAAAAATGAGGAGCACAATCTATACATAATCTATGAACACTCACTGTAGAAACATGTTGGACTGAGATCTCTTTCTGAACAGAGGACGGAAATCTCTCTGGCTTCCCGACGGTGGTCTTCACCCTCCGGACGCTGGTTTTCCGACTCTTCGTTGACCCGCGGCCTACCGTTCTGGATGGCGGACCTCAGGGTTAAGTGCGTTTTAGTATATAGGCCTGCAGTCTAAAGTCGGCCGATCTGACCAGAACTAGAACAGCAAACACAGACTGAACCGGTGCAGCGCTCGTTTTCTTTTTCGAAATCTGGAGAGTCTGTGACACACAAACACACACGCGCGCGCTCACACACACACACACACACCTCCAAATCAAGTGCTTCGTGTTTATCACCCTGACATCATCACTTGTCATGGTCCGACCGCTACGAAACGTTACGTCGTCTCCTTCTCTCGTCACCGGGTCATATCGGTGTCAGGTCGAAGTCGTCGTTGACCTCTACGAGAGGGATGTAGAATTCGGGGATCTCGAAGATGCTGGTCGACTTGTAAGTGGCGGGATCCAGTTCCTGCAGTTTTAGCTGCCACTCCAGCCGCTGAACCGCGTTTAACGCCGCTGCTTCGTGCTGCTGACGCATCAAGAGACAAGTCTGGAGAAAACAGAGATGTGCGACAGTTCAGATAGGTTAGCTTAAAGGAGTAGTTCACTTTTAAAAAACTTTTTCTGATAATTTACTCGCCCCCGTGTCATCCAAGATGTCCATGTCTTTCTTTCTTCAGTCGAAAAGAAATTAAGGTTTTTGATGAAAACATTCCATATAATGGACTTCAATGGGGTCCAAACGGTTCAAGGTCAAAAAGACAGTTTCAGTGCAAACTGTTCAAAGGGTTCAAACCAGACGATGAATAAGGGTCTTATCAAGCGAAACGATCGCTCATTTAAAAGTTCTATAAGTTCCACAAAAGTTTAAGTTTTATAAGCTCAAATTCGTCGCCTTGAAACGAATCATTTCCAGAATCAACTTGTTCATTTCGTTCGTTGAATGAACCAAATGGCACCAAAAAAGATTCGTTCATTTTGATAAACGAGTTCGAACAGGAGAGTCACAAACGGACAGAGCATGGCGAGCATTTGAGCTTATAAAACTTAGTTATTTTTTTTTTTAAATGAGCGATCGTTTCGCTTGATAAGACCCTTATTCATCGTCTGGTGTCATTTAAAGCCCTTTGAAGCTGCACTGAAACTCTCATTTGGACCTTGAACCGTTTGGACCCCATTGAAGTCCATTATATGGAGAAAATCCTGGAATGATTTCATCAAAAACCTTAATTTCTTTTCGACCGAAGAATGAAAGACATGGACATCTTGGATGACACGGGGCTAGAGCTGTCACGATAACTACTTTTTGTTGTGCGATATATTGCACCAAAATTAATTGCGATAAACGATATTATTGTCATTTTCAGACCATTTTATGCCACTGATTACCTATGACAATATAATAGCATTATAATGCAAGTACACTGTTTCAAAGAACATTTATTCTCATTCTATTCAATATTTAGACATTGTGAAATGTGAAAAAAAATATATCCCAAATAAATAAAACAAGTAAATAAATACACATTCTTAACAAAAAAGTTTCAGGTATCAAAAACTAGATCAAAACAAAGAAATATGTCAATTTAAACTTTTAAAGTGTCTCACACAAAGGCACAGATGCATCAACAGGACATTTCATATTTTTAAATGCTGGTTTTTCGACCGTGCATAATGGCTGCATCTCTTTGGCTAAATAGTAGTGTAGTGCCTGAACGCGTTCATATTTGAGTGAACTGAAGAATGTACTGTATTACTGCCTGATGAACGCGTTCATTCTGGTGTATGTCTGCGAATGCACGCTCTATCAGTTTAAACTCTTACCTTAGTACAATAGGGTGCCGATTTGTATAGAGCCTTCCAGGCGAAAACCCGGCTAAAACACACGTAAACAAGCCTTAAACACCCAATCTGGCAACACCAACCGCGCCGCGGCCACCGTCAACAAAGCAGCGAGTGAGGAGATGTATGATCATTTTAACGGATTTTATGAGGTCAGTGCGGATGGGAAAAAAAAATCTCACATTTCTGCGCAAACTGGCCGTCGATAAAATAATTGTTGTCTGTGGTTGTATGGGCTGTGACAATAACAGCCTAATGAAAAAAGCTCACAACATGGAAAAAAGAACTATAAATTAATTAGTTTTTTTGAAGTATGAGCTATGAACTGAACTAATTTATTTTAAAATGTGTGAACTGAACTTTGAACTAGTTCGTGTAGAAAGTGAAATTTACCAACACTGAGAGTTACGCTATCCGTGAGTGTGCGCCATTTCGCGCTGTCACGTTTACTGCTATATTTGCGCTGTCGGGACGGGAAAATGCATCTGCAACATAACTGTCTGGAAGAAGGCCCCTCTCCAACTCCAGCTGCTGTTGTTGTTCCCAGGTTGAAACACTGGGTGGGATGGTTATGTTTTAGGTGCGATTTTAAGTTTGTTGTGTTGCCTCGTCGCGTTGCGACTGTTAAAACACAGTCGACATACCCGCTCGTTCACGTTTATCTCTCCTCTCTCGTTCGGCTTAAGGCAAAATGTTCCCACACCGGAGCTGAAGATTGTGGCTTTGAAATCAATTAATTCCATGTTGGACTCGTTCTTCCTAACTGTCTGGCTCGCTGTAGATGTCACGAGAACACTTTAAAATGCAGTTTTGGTTCACGCCTACTCTTCACCTGCCGGTGTCCGCTCTCTCCCTGTGTGTGTGTGTGTGTATGTGGTGGACGCGTGCAGCAGACAAGATGACAGAGGAAGCGCGATCAACTAAAATGCTCATGACATTTATTTTATTGTAAAAATGAATCTAATTATTATTCTTAATAGTAAAACAAATTATCTGTTGCAATATATCGCGGCACCAAAAATGATCGCACTGGTTTCCATATATCGTGCGATAAGTCGATATATTGACTATCGCGACAGCTCTAACGGGGGCGAGTAAATTATCAGCAAAAGCTTTTTTTAAAATGAACTACTCATTTTTTTTTTATGTGTCGTGTGCGTTCGGGCCAAACAGCGAACACTAACGTCACGGATAGTCCCTATAGGGCTGGTTTAGACACGACTCTAAATAAGTTCCTTCAAAAGGAGTTCCCAAAACTAAAATCATTCCAACTTCCTGCGCGGAAAAAACACGCCAAAAACCGGGAACTTCCGCCAATAGTTCTAGGAACTATGAAAGTGAGAAAGCCCCTAATTTCTGAGTGTCATTGCATTAGACAACAAAACTTCATCTGTTTTTCAGAACTTCATTTCTATTTAAAGGGGACATATTATGCTCTTTTACAATGTCTTGATTTTGTTTTTAGGTTCAACAAGTATTTTGCCACTTTTCCATGATAGGTCTTACAGATTCTGGTTGTTTTGTATTGTTTTGAATCGTTTGTTTAATTTAATTTGATTGTTTTTGCTATTAGGACATCTAACATGGACTGTTAAAATGTTCAGACTGTTAAATTGAATGTCTGTTTTTGTACCTTCAGCTTGTCAAACTTGTCGTCTACATCCTGAAGCCAAGACATAAACTGCCTTGCATTGAACCGATCTCTAACAGAGGTCTTCCCATCATCACCCTGAAATGTTAAAAAAAAAAAAAAAAAGATTAGTAAATATCAACCGTACTGTATATGGAAAGACAATTTCGGAGGATTTCAAATAATTTTTTTGTTTTTAAACAAGTTTTAAACAACTATCTTTATTGACAGGGTTTGTGGTCTGATGTTGATTACAGAAAATTTGTGTTAAAAAATTCAATTATTCCATAAAAATGTGTTAAAGGTTAAAATATGTTAAAAAAAAAAATAAAAAAAATAAAAAATAAAAAAATGTGTTAAAGGGATAGTTCACCTCAAAATGAAAATTCTGTCCGTAATTACTCTCCCTCATGTTGTTCAACCCCGTAAGACTTTCGTTCATCTTCAGAACACAAATTAAGATATTTCTGATTTAATCTGAGAGCTGGATCCCTCCTCCATAGGCTTCTAAAGGGATCGAAACTTGCCGGCCCAGAAAAGTTATTAAAGACATCGTTAAAATAGTCAGAGTGACTACAGTGGCTCAACTTTAAGTTTATCAAACGACAATAAACTGTAATTACTGACAGAATTTTCATTTTGGGGTGAACTATCCCTTTAAGAGCTATAAAGTTGTCTCGATTTATCAACAATTGCTGTGTTAGGATTTTTAATTAATGTGAATTGTCATTTATACACATCAAGTAACAGTGTTTGGTTTAAAAGTCCTTATTTCCCTTCAAAATAATGTCCTAATAATGTGGACATTCACCTGGACGTCCTGGGGCATGTTATATACTTCGGCATCCAATAGGACTGTACAGGCACTGAATGGAAGCGTCTGATTGGCTAGTGTTCTTGCAGCCCGGTAATGAACTCTCAAAACCTCCTGCTCATTGGATACAATCAGCTTTTCCTAGAAGAGCAAACACCTCAGTCATTCAATCAGGTCATCTTTACTGCTCTGACTTACAGATTGATGTTCAGTAAATTCAGTATATTTTTATACTGTTTCCATTTACCCTTTCGATGCTGTGCTGCAGTCTTAGCTTCATCCGTACCACCTCTTGCTGTTTGAACATCTCCTTCAGTGGTTCAAGTAGAGACGGAGGTGGCGTTATCTACAAGAGCAAACAGTATGTTGAGACTTTATATTTTAGCATTAAGGCCCGTACACACCGGGACGAATATCAGCGCACGTTATTCGTCAGCGCTTTTTGTGTTCACACCCAAGCGATTTTCGCTGACGATGAGCCGAGTGAACATGCAAATTCATTCCCTGACATTAGATGGCGCCAAATTGCTTTGCAATTCCACTCTATATCAGTTTTTATTTATCAAGATGTTGTAGTCGCTGTCGCGTTTGTCATATAGTTCTTTATGTTCTAGCACTAACGAGAACAGCAGCTCTACATTCATCTTGCTTCGCATCTTCCTCGTCTCATTTCTTCCTGGCTGTGTAGATGGCGACGCTACTTGGCGTATATCTTCTTCGCCGTCGGATGTAGGGCAGGGTAATAAATATCGATTTCTCGATATTAATCGAGTCTCATTTTTACGAACCGATATCGATTCTTAAAATCTCAAGAATCGATTAGTCATCCTGTTTCATTTGAATGAATGGAACATTGTATCGCGGCTGCGTGCATCCAAAAAAAAAAAAAAAAATCGCAATAATCTTTGTCCTTTGTTACTATTGATATGAAACAAAGTCTCAATTTTCAAATTACGTCCATTTTCTTTAGAAATTCAAAAACATAAATAGCGTTTTGGCGCTGTGGCGTGAGATCGCTCTGGCGCAGCTCAAGAGAAGCAGCAGCGCTGATCTCTCTTCCGGCTTAATAATACCAGTTACAGCGCCAAATAAACATGAATGAGCATCTGAAAGTGTGTTAAAAGATAGAGTACAACTTATCGAAATCCGTATCATGTCACATTGATTCGCTCAATCAGCGTTTCAACCGTGGAAAGACGTCAGTTAAACAGCTTGTAATCAATGTATCGTCATATTTACCTCAGAAAACCCACATAAACTTGTTAGTCAGCTAGAAAAAATAACTCTAGAGAGGAGCATTTTGCTAAATATATACACCATATTACATATGCCTTATAATCTTAATGTTCTTCAATATTTAATGCATATTTGAATAAATCTGGCAAGTTTTTATGACAGCCACCATTTAAATGTTTAAATTTCATATAATCTTCTTATTATAAAAATAAATAAAAGTGTAATTTTAGTGTTTGTGTAGCTACAAAACAGTTAATTATTACCTTCATATTAGGCTAATGAAGTCTATAGGCTACAACTAGACTCCCATAGTTTACAGCATTAGTTAAGAGATTTGATTTCCTTGTGAAAATTTGCCATTTATTGGAACTGATATCCAAAATAATCAATATTGAATCGAATCGGAATTGAAATCGAATCGAATTGTGAAATTTGTGTCAATACCCAGCCCTAGTTGGATGTGTGCTCGGCAAGACCGTTTTGTGTTCGAGCGCCCCCAAGTTGTGTTTTACTGTAACTTCAGAAGCTCCAAACACGTGAGCAAAAGCGCCAATTGGTCGGATAGTTTTTAACGCAGCACGCCAAACTAAAAAAAAAACTAACCCGAGGCGTTTTTTTTTTTTTTTTAAATAACGTTTTTACGCGTTGGTGTGCACGCTCACATTAGCGCCTTTTGTTTAGTCGCAAGGCGTTAAACGTCGGTTAAAATTCGTCCCGGTGTGAACAGGCCTTTAGTTTCATTTCATTGAGTATTTGTTACAATCATGACTTTCACAGAACGGAAGTGGTGACAAAGCTTACCGTTGGGATACAGAGTTTGCTGAGAGGGTTTCCATCCAGCAAATAGGACCCGTTAAACGTCACATATTCGTCGTAGTATTGAGGTGCTTGAGGAATGACACTACAAAGTACTTTCCTCTTCTCCTCAATCTTCTTGCGAATGTGCAAGTACTCATAATATGGGTTTGCTCTCTCCGTCTGGTACGGCTGGATCTCCTCAAGCTTCAATGCATCTACGATTGCCGCTAAGGACTGTTGCGCCTTTTCTTTGACCTGCTGAGCCGTAAGGTTCATTTGGGCCGGAGGTGAAACCCTATGCATCTTTCGTTTCCTTGGATGGGTCGCCTGCATATCAGCTTCTTCTTCAAGGAGTCGGACTTTGGCTCTGGCCCCAGATGTATCGCAATCTCTCTCCGTGATGGATATCGGGGAGGAACTTCCCGACGTCGCCCCACTGTGCGGATCCGCCTGATTATCGGGATCGACCGTCGCACTGCTTTGAGCCTGTTCTTCAAGATCAGATTTCACAGGCTTCTCCTCGACAGCAAGTTGGTCTGAAGTCTCTGCATCAGCCTTTGTTTCAGACAGAGCTTGTGTCGTTGCACCTTCTTCTGAAGACACCCCATCCAATTCTGTGATTCGGTTCTTGTCCGAAACATCTTCAGACAGCTCCATGGGCTCCTCAGGGACCCTTTCTGGACTAACACAGCGAGACACATTTGTAATCGAAGCTGGCTCGTGTTTCTCTGGCTGAGCGTCAACTGTATCCAATGGCTCACTGGAGATCTTTGAGATACTTTCGTCTTGCACAACCGGATCACCCTTTTGGGGATCTTCTTGGACACTGGTTGTTCTCAGCAGTGGTTTAGTTGTTTCTTCAGAGATCGATCTACAAGAACCAATAGATGGACTTGGAGTGCTTGTCCAACCTGATTTGGTGAGGTTTTCCACTACTATGGGTTTCTCTCTTTGCTCGGTCCTCAAACTAGAGTCTGCTGTCAATGTCTGTTCGCTACTGGAAACGGGGGCAGTTTCCCATTGCTGGCTACTTGAATGCAAAGGTGAACTGGCATCAGAAGGATTTTGTGTGTGAGAAGATGCTTGTGAAGATTCCTCTGTCATTACGGGACCAGGGACATCGAGCGGACCAAGACTTGCATGCTCAGTGTTGCAAGACCTGCTCTTCTCTTGCAAATGGGTCTGAAACACACTGTTAGCCTGTTTGAGGCTACCAAGGTCTTTTGCGCTAGACTCTCGCAAGTTTGGTGAAGGTTGAACTTGACCAACAGGTGTGACGTCTTCAATTTCATTACTAGTCAGACTTTCCCTTTCTGGAAGCGCACTTTGACTGCCCTGGGTTTCCTGAACAGGGGACATGCTAATCTCAACTTGTTCGCTGCTTGGGTGCGAGACAATACTGATCATCTGAGACTCTTCTGTCGATCTTGTTTCAGCTGGTGACGCCTTGGCTTCTTCATCCAAAATAGCCCTTAAGCATGGGGACGCATGCCTGCTTGATAATGATGTGCGATTGCAGAGAGCAGTTTCGGGAAGACTGCTGGTATCTTTATCGTGAAGAGTAGGTGATCTGGAGGACTGTAAAACGAGGGAAGACTGCAGGGAATCTGACGCTTCCATGTTCGCATCAGAATCATATTCAGTTGGTTTAGGCGTCAATGTGGTTGCGTGACAGGAATCTTCTGAACTTGCCACGGAAACCATGGACACTGATCTTGACATGAGGCCAGATTTTTCACTCTCTGGTCTTGGAGATCGGTTAAGATTGTTTTCCATCACTGGACCATTCTTTCCCAAGGTTTTTGCATCTACTGAGAGCGTTCTTCCACTGGTGGCATCTTTCAAGATCTTCTCGCGATGCACATCTGACGCTTCCGAGCTCTTCGACCGAGTTAGTTCCTTGGTTACACAAGGCTCACTGGACAAAGAGGACGTTTTTGTTTTCTCCTTGCTTTTCTGTTTCCCAGGATCAGTCCCTGGACGCTGCTTTAGCCGCTCCCGTTCCTTCTGCTTGATTTTCTCCAAGTGCTTCCTATGCCACTGTTCGATTTCCTGGTCCTTGAGACTGAGCATGCGTTCAAAGCTGGTCTTCATGAGGTCATCGTTCACCAACCTCTTTTCTTTGGGACGAGTATCCTTTAGAGTAGGCGCGACCTTAGATTTGGAGTCCACTTCACTTGGTTTCGTCTTGCCAATTTTGCCATCCCTGTTCAGCTGGGATCGATCTTTTTCCTTTTCCTTGTGTCGGTCTCGATGCCTTTCAGACTCCCGGTCCCTCTCTCTTCGATCTCTGTCTTTCTCCGGAGGCTTGGTCACCTCTTCTTTCGATTTAGACGAAGCGACCTTATTGTTCTCACAAACGTAGCCTTTCTTCTCTTCCAATAACAACTTTAGATTGGAGTAGGATGAGGAAGAGGGGGTGGTCTCTTTTGATTTCTCCTTTTTCCTCTTGTCAGAGTCTTTTTCTTTACTGCGGTCAGATTTTCCATGATCAGTGGTTTTCTCGGGGGCTTTTCCTTTCTTTTCCGAACTCGCTTTATCTTTGTGGTCACCAGAAGAGTGCTCTTTCTCAGCTCTTTTGTCGAGCTTGTCCTTATTCTTCTTGTTCTCGTCATGCTTTTTCACCAAAGACGTTGCTTTGAGCCGTTCACTCTCTTTATGGCTCTTGTCATTGGGTGAATGTGATACGTTTGTTAATTTCTCCTTTTCTTTCCATCGATCTGTAGAGTTGTGAAGTTCAGGCTTGTCAGCTAAATGTTCAGATTTTACTTTCTTGTCTTTATCCGCATGTTTCTTGTCAGACTCCCGGTCTTTTGTCGGTGGCCGCTTATCAGTTTTCTCGCGAGGGATCTTCTCTGGAGACTCCAGCTGATCTTGGTCTGCTGAATTGACAGTAATTGGTTTATCATCTTCTTCCTCTTTCACTCCTAAACTGTGCAGTGAGCTGTCAGGAATTCGGCCAGAGCCAAGACCCTCAGTCCGATCTTCAACTTCATCTCCTTTTCCATCCTTTACACGCTCCTCTTTTTTCTCCTTTTTAATGGTCTTGTCCTTATCTCGCTCCTCTTTTGGCCTCCTGTCTTTACTGCTGCTACTGCTTGAATGTTTGTCTTTTGACGCCCCCCGTTCCTCTTTAACAGGCGATGAGTCTGAGGATTTCAGAGGAGATCCGCCAGCGAGCATCTCACATTTGCCTGTGAGATCTTCGTTTTCATCACTTTTGAAGAAGTTCTCCTTCCAAAACTCCCGATCAAACTCCATGTTCCTATGTCCGTCCTTGCGTGGCTCTTTCTGCCGGTGGCGATTCCTCTCGGCCTCGTGCTCCTTCCTGTACTTTTCTTTCTCCTTGTGTTTCAGCTTGTGCTTTTTTACCACTTTTCCGTCTTTGTCGGTCTTCCTGAAGACGGCCTCAGAACTGTCTATGCTGTTGCTTAGACTACTGTCTTTGAAAGGACTGGAACTGCCATCATCTCCATCTAAGTTAGGCTCCTTGTGGTGATGCTTGCTCTTTTCTTTGTGCTTGCAGCTCTTACTGCTAGAACCTTCTGTGCAGAAGTCGGACTCTGTGTAGTGGTTGTATTTGACGCCGTCCCCTGGACAGGATCCATCGCCGATAGAAACACAAGTCTTGGCGTTCTCCTGTTTCAGAGGGGTTGTCTGCTTGTCAGTTTGGCTGTGGTTCAGCTTAGGGGACTTGACTACAGACAGGTGAAAGAGGTGGACCGACGTGTCATCCTTTGCACTGAATGACATTTTGAATGAATCTTCTTCCCTGACGCCCTTGTCAGTATTGTCAGACACAGTCGCCGAAGTAAACAGAATAGACTTGCTGTTCTCTTTCCCTTCTTCTCGGACTTCTTGGTTCTCCTTGTTTTTGCTTTGGCTCTTGTTCTTTTTCTTTTGTTTTCCTTTTTCTTTCTGTTCCACTGGCGTGAGAGTCAAGCTTTCTTTCTTCGATCTGTGACCATCCACACTGACCGACCTGGTAGGCGAGCTCCTTCTTTCCGTCGGCACCTCGGCTTCGTCGCTCGAACTGTCTGAAGTGCAGTAGATACGGGACGCCTTTGTTTTTTTAGACTTGCACACCACCGTTGACTGGTCGCTTTTGCTGCCTTGTTTGGAAGTATAGTGGTTCCTTTCCTTCTCCTCCTTCTCCTTTTGCCGTAGCTCTCGCCTTAAGATGTGTCGGTCGTTAAGTGCCTTACTGAGGTCCTCCTCCTCTTCCTCATCCTTGAACTCGTATTCATCCAGCCCCGACATGGACGACGAAGCCTTCACTGTTGTCGATTTACTGTCAGAGTCCTTTTCAGCATCCGAGTACTCCATGTTCTCGTCTACACTGGATGGATTCACCGACGGTGGGTCCTCTGATTCTGTGAATTACAAAATAATAGAAAAAGAGAATTAATATAATGCTATTAAATGTTGAGGTGAATGCAAGAAAGCGCAAACTAGTTGATTTTAGTTTACTTCAGGCCAAGGGTACTATTGCTTTAAAATGGAAGAAAACCCAAGATGACCTAACTAGGATGATTAAAGTCATCTTCTTTGGTCAAGTCCAATTTTTAACTCAGTTCTTGTAATCCAGCAAAACAAACAATGGCTCTGGTAAAATAGTAGAATTAAACTACAAAATGTCAGGCTGTGTGCTGTAATATTAAAATGTATATTTTATGTGTTTTATGGTTTAGTGTTGTTCTGGATGTCTTGTAATGTGCATCTCATTATCTTCATTTTTTAATTGTTTATTTGTTTCCTACCCATTATTCGGTTTATTTTGTTGTCTTTATGTTCAAACAAAAAAATTTGGGAAAAAAAAAATGTAATGCTATTAAATCAAAAATAAAATAATTAAAAGACATATCTGTGTTTAAATAAATACTAATCTCAGTAATGCATAAGCAGAACTAGTTACAATTGTAAAAAGGCTCAACCAACATTTATTTAACCAGTTTATTTAAAGTACTTAATAAAGAATGAATGTCTGAGGTAACCAATAGAACAAAAAAAAAAAAACCTTGAAACTGAACGTATGTATAATTCTTTAGGTCAAACTAATCTCCAAATTTTGCAACAATGTTGTTTGGATAAAAATCTTGACAATTTGTCAGTCCGTTTTCCTATTGACTGGGCATTTACAGAAAGATAAAAACAATCGATCATATGACCGACGGGAGTGCCGTGCTCTACTGTTTTAACTAGCCATTCTTTGTTCATTAATTAAACAATTTTTTTTTTGCTTAACCCTATTCAATTTTATTCTAAAACAATTTTTTTTTGAGTCGCTTTGTATAAAAGCACGTGACAAATGCAGAGATGTCAAATACGCTAAATATTAGAAATAAATATTCCTCCAAATGGGTTAATAAAACTAAATTATAGTTAGAGAACACTTAAAACTATTTAGAAAATGGATATGACTGGATATGCATGCCGAAAAAGTTGACAGCCCTTGAGAAAGAAAAGTTCAAAAGAAATACCAATAGCAACAGCAGTGGCAAACGTCTCTGTACCTGAAGAGCTCTCTTCTGCTTCTGAAAGCGGGATCTCTCCCTTGAGTAATTGCTCAAGCTCCTGAGAGTCAGCAACATCAACGGGTCTCTCCCCTCTCTTGTTGGCCTGGAAGGCATTGCCTCCGTGACGCAAGAGCAGCTTCACAATCTATGAAAATAGACAATATAGATTATCAGAAAGATTCACAAATGCTTGCAACAGATATTAGTCAACTTTGAGTGTATCGTCATCAATGTTTAACATAAGTGTGCTGTAAGTATCAGTAGGTTGATCACTAGCTGTAAATGCCATGATTTAAAGTAAAAACGCACATCTTTGTGTCCGCTGCTGGAGGCGTCATGAAGCGGAGTGTCGTCATCCAATCCTTGCGTGTTCACTTCCGCTCCTGCACCAATCAGAACCTTCGCCACATCATAGTAACCAAGGTTACAAGCTTCATGGAGAGGCGTCCAACCTGAAGGAAAAAAAAAAATGTGAATCTTCAATTGGACAACTGCTTAATCCTATAAAGCCAAATTTCTACTGCCTCTAAATTATACCAACATGATTAAAACTTTGCTGAAGTCCCAGGACTGCAGATGAAAATTAGCCTCTGGCTAAAAGGGGTTTAAATCTATCCCATGCTAAAAATGTGCAATGTGTCAAATCTAGTGAAAATTATTATCAGAAAACAACCAAAATTAGGTATTCCAGTTGTAGGGAAAAAGAAAAATTAATTTAGAAAAAACTACAAAAAACCTACAGGTTTCTTCAAGTTAAAATCAAGTCTTTTAAAGACCAATTATATAAAAAATGAATACCTATTTCACGTCCCTACCACCAAAGAAAAACTAAATCCTTGAACTTGTGTTCATTTATTTTTTAAATGTGGAATGGGTAAAAGATAATAAGCCAATCAGGTGTGAAAAAATAAAAAACATTTCAGTCGGCCACAAGAAAGTTTGCCGAACAATGTTAAGTTTTTTTTTTTTTTAAATTAGCTACTTAGAGAGAGACCCCTGAACAATAAACATCAAAAATCATAATAATCATGGTTGACAAATAACAAAATACGGAGAAGTTCCATACAATTTTAAGGCCTAGACATCAAAATTCAAGTCTTTTTAAGGTATTATTTCCAAATGAATAAATTTAATGCTTTTAAGGCTTTTTAAGACCCCGCGGGAATCCTGTGGTGTGATGACCTTCTTGAAATTACTCTATTATATATATATATTTTTTTTGCCTGTTTCTAGTATACCACAATCTGGGGCACATGAAGACATGCAGGGCTCAGATAACCAAATTACAAGCAATAGCACAAATAAATACACTAGAACAAAAGACAAATTAAATAATCAGTGCTTTTCAGGTAGGTCTAACATAATTTTTCAGCCACAGAAATAAAACAAAAAAAAAGTAAATAGCGGTTGCATTATATGTTTTGAAAGTATATCATCTTACCAAGACATTATTATTAGGAGATACTTATGCTGATATTTATGTAGATTCCACATTTGAAATATTGATTTATTGATTCTATATTATTTTAGAATTTGTAAACTGTTACCAAATCAAATTACATGATTAAGACGATTATTTAATTCCATAAAACATGAAAATAAACAACAGACAGCTTGTTATCAGGTGATGCAATCCTGTAAATGTGCATAAAACACACAGTCTCACCTGCGAAATCTTTGACGTTCACATCTGCGCCGAGGCCGATGAGTTCCTTCACCTGCTTGACGTCCCCTCGGATGGCGGCCATGTGCAGGGGAGTCTCCCCTCTCTCGTTTCGTTTGTTCACTTTGTCCTTCTGCCGTGTGGACGAGCTGCTAGCGATCTTCTTCTGCACCGCCGGAGATTGAGAGGGGTGGTTCGGTGTGGTATCTGAGATTACAGAGAACGCCACAGACATTTGGTTTATCTGAATTGTCAATCTGACCTGACTGGACTACAAAAGAAAGCGAGCGCTCTGATAACAAATGACTACAGCATAACTCGCTGATCATAAATAAACTGGTGGCTGAAATAATTACTAAAATTAACTAACATTTCCAATAATTTTAAAAGTTTCAAAAACTATTTAGTTTTAGTTAGGTGATAGTTTATTTATATTTTTTTCCCTTTTTTTATTTCATTTTTTTATTTATATTTTTATGCAATTTATTATTTACGATGTGTATAAACATAGGTAAATAAGTATGCTGTTTTTGTTTTTTGGTGTGTAGAAAGAAATAGATCAAGATGTTCAGACAACAGGTTAATTAATTAATTAATTATTAAAAAGTAGTGGAGATGGGTTAGGATTGAATAAGCTTATGCTTCTTCCTAGTCCTTTTCGGACATGAATAAGTTAAAATAGTTTTTTTGTTATTAATTTTAATTATGATTGTTTTTTTGTTTGTTTTTTACATGTTCGAAATAAAAACTTTTCATTCATTCATTCAATGGTTGAAATAAAGCTGAAATAAACTAAAATATAAATATTTGATGAAAAACTAGTAAGTCGAAGTACTTTAATCACTAAAACTAAAATTGAAAAACATAAATCTAAATAGAAATATTAGAAACAAATCAAAATGATTTGCTGTATTATAAAACAATTGCGAATATTGCAATTTATGTGTATCTATTAATATATGTGTATATTCAATAATTATTTTGTATATATTTGTGGACTGAGGCAATCTAGATGCTATTTTTCTTTTTTTTTCCTATTTTTGGTTGTTCATATAACTTCAAAAATGTTAATAAAATAATAATAATAAAAAAGGAAACAAATAAAAATGGCAAAAGCATATAACTATAAAAATAATAATATAAAAAAACTATTTTATATTTTATTTAAAGTTTCTCAAAATGCATTGCATAGAAACAACCATGACAAAACAGTAAGCAAACACACATATCACAGTCTAAAAGCTCATTTAAAATATTAATACATACTATAAAAGTACATAAACAAAACAATAAATACTGAAAACATTTATAAACTCCATATAAATATCCTTGTAATTTTTAAATACTGGCTTTTGACATGAACAAATAAAATTCAGGAGATAAGGATGGTCTACTAAACAAAATATCAGTGACAACTTTTACCTCAGTGTAAAACAACAACCCGATGTTTAGCGATTAAAAAAAAAAAAAACTAAATCAGAAAAAACTAATTTCCTACCTGGACTGTTGTCTCTCGCCGTCATCTGCATGACCAGTGCCATTTGCTTTCGCTCTGATAAAGGGTAGCCGAACAAAATATTCACAGGGGTCGACTTCTTAGTCCCTGGCTCCTTCTTAACTTTCTTCTTATCTGGAACATCTTTGTCTGCCGCAAACAAGAGAAAGGATGAACAGAGCATGAGCACAGCTCTCCTCTTGCATTCATGCACCTCAGTTCCTGAAAATGTCAACGTCTGATGCAATTTATGCCCTTTAAACAAACAGCTGGAGGAATTGCAATGGAAACGTTCCAGCCTGACAGACACATGCATTACCCATCTAACACTGTTCCCTTGAGTCTTTGTGCGCTATTGAAAGGCATGCCATTAGAACAGATGCAGCTGTTAAACCGAGAAAGAGTCAGTGTGTGTGTGCTTCCTTGAACCGAATCGCTTTTTATAATGACACAAATATAAAGAGCGAATGCGCGAGAGACGACTCTGCACATAAAATGATGCAACCTAAAGAAGACTGTCTCTCTGAGAGTGATGCAGAAAGGCTAGCATACAGAAAAGGTCATGCGGAAGTGGTTACGGAAACTACATTCGTATTAGCCAGCCGTCGGGAGGAGAGAAACAACAAATAAAGGCGTTGCCGAACCGTGACTGCAACCGTTGTAGTGGTGAAGAGCTGCACGATTAATCGCTAAAAGATCATGATTTCGATTCATTCCTAAATGACAACCTGTCTATTAAACCTTGGACTAAATGTCACGGATCTACACTCTTAGAAAAAAGGGTTCATTCTTTACTCGACTCCAAAGAACCTTTTAATCACACAGTATCGTTATTTTTTCTGCGTTACAAATGTTCACATCACCACAGAAGTACTGAGATAGTAAATCCATGTCTACGGTAGCGATCTATACAGGGCAAATCCCCTTTTAAAAGTAACATGGCGCTTTAAATAACGATTATATTGATTACATTGTTACACCAGTAGGTGGCGGCAAGTGACTGTATTTGTCATTGATTCATTCGTTCAAGAGATTTGTTGAAAAATGCCATTTAACAGTCATTAAATCATTCATTAAAACCTTTATATATATATATATATATATATATACACACACACATACATATATACACACATATATATGAAGAGTTCAGATGCAAAAGCCTCTAAATGCCATTTGAAATTTTCTTCTTTAATGATGATTTTTATCAAACTTGTATATTTAAGTTCAGTGATTTCACTTAAATGGCAATTATAATTACCTATTAATTGTTATTTAAGTGAAATTACTGAACTTAAATATACAAGTTTGATAAAAATGATCATTCTAGAAGAAAATTTCAAATGGCATTTAGAGGCTTTTGCATCTGAACTCTTCATATATATATATATATATATATATATATATATGTATGTATATTAGGGCTGTGCAAAAATGAATTGCGATTAATCGCATCCAAAATAAAAGTCTGTGTTGTTTACATAATATATTTGTGTGTGCTGTATATAATTATTTTGTATATATAAATACCTATGCATGCATGAATATATTTAAGAATTATTTGTGCTTAAATTCTGTATATATATATATATATATATATATATATATAAATACATAATCTATATTATATAAATATAAATATTTTATATATGAATAACACATTTTCTTAAATGTATACATGAATGTGTGTGTATTTATATATACAAAATAATTATATACAGCACACACAAATATATTATGTAAACACAGACTTTTATTTTGGATGCGATTAATCACAATTAATTTTTGCACAGCCCTAATGAATATATATATAGACCATTTCACAAGATGTAAACAACACTGGTCCAGAAGCACTTCCTTTTTCAGTTTTTTAACACTACATAAAAGCTGGGATAAAATACAACCAACAGAACATTTAAAACTGAATCAAAAAGTTAAACAAACATCTTTAAGATGTTTTTTTTACATGTGAAATAAAGAAAACGGTTACAAACTGAAACAGGAAGTGTTTCTGGACCAGTGTTGTTTACGTCTTGTGAAATGGTCTATATATATATATACATACACTGTATTTATATATATATATATATATATATATTCATTCTAATTAGTTGAACATTTAATTACTGGTACATTTAAATAATTAATAAATTAAATACTGAAGCAGTTCGTATTTTTGCAGAACCTCTAGTAATTTACATGTTATTAAGCTTTCTGTTCAGAATTGTAGGAGAATCTGTTTGAAACAACAACAAAAAAACTCATGATTTCTCCAGAATCGTGCAGCTCTACTGTGCGACTTTAACGGAGGCGTTTACCTGCGTATATCCTGCAGGGAGGAAGTAATCTCTCTCCCCACACATCGCTCGACTGCCCGGGGTCAGAGTCATCTACAGTGCAGAAGCAGAGAGGCGGGAGTGGGGAAGGAGGGGGAGGTTCAGGGTTCGAGAGGTGGATGGGAAGGAGGGACGGGAGAGCAGAGCACTGATTACACCCACAGGCTCCGCCCCTCACTCAAATAACAAATCACAGCACAGGATTCAATGACTCCGGCATGAATATTAAGAGTCACAGATGACATCACTAAACCTAAATCCATTCCCATCCAAAAAAGCAGGACATAAAAGTCTCTGCATAAGCTCACAAATTCACAATAAGTGTACTTCTTAAAATCTTTTTGTTTATACTAGTGTTGTTATTGATAACTAAAAACTAATAACTAATAAAAAGCATTTTTTGGTAACTGAAATCCAATAAGTAAAATTTTTTCCATCTGATAGTTGTTTTATTCTATTTTATTTCAGTTGATTGCAAAGGCAACTTTTCTAATTTTTAAGCTTATTAAGTTTCTAAAATTACTAAAGCACATAAAAAAATGAATAAAACAAACTAAAATTAAAAATATAAAAATAAAAGCTTGTTCAAAATATTTATAAATACTATTATAGTATAAAAATAATACTAAAATAAGGGTAGGCGGTGTGACCAAAATATACATATATATATATTTTTTGTAAGAGACATTTTTTAATCATGATAATAATAACAGTATAGTTATTTTTGATAATTCAACAACAAAAAAGGGTAAAAAATAATTAACTATATTATATATATTAATATTATTATATGAGGGTTGAGCAAAGATTAAGCGCATCCAAAATAAAAGTTTGTGTTTACATAATATATGCGTGTGTGCCGAGTATAATTATTTTGTATATATAAATACACACACATGCATGTAAATATTTAAGAAAATGTGTTATTCATATATAAAATATTTATACTTATGCATGCATGTATATATTTAAGAATTATTTGCAAGTAAATACTGCATATTTATATATATATATAAAAATACATAATCTATATGATATATATATAGATATATATATATATATAGACATATGTATTTATATATACAAAATAATTATACACACACACATATATTATGTAAACACAGACTTTTATTTTGGATGTGATTAATCGCGTTTAATCGCAATTAATCTTTGCACAGCCCTATTTTTTTATAAATATATATTCCTTTTTGAAAACAGCGGGTGTCTGCGTTTTGTGGGTTCGGCCAATCAGCGAACACTTACGTCACGGATAGTTCCTATAGTAAAGTCCGACTTAGAAGTAGGAGCCAATTTAGTTCAAGAACTAAAATCGTTCCTAGTTCCTGCGGTGCGAACACGCCAAAATCTTCCGCCAATAGTTCTAGGAACGATGAAAAAGTTTCCTCTGACGCGAAAACCCCCTTTTGTCCTCACATGATGCAACTAACCACAGAACCGGGAGTAAAACAAGAGGTTAAGGCTCAATGTAAACTAATGACAATATATTTTGAGGGGAAATCTATTGTGTTTTTGAACGAGACCCAATCTATCGTCCACGCATTCGATGAGGCTGGCTTGACTGTTACACAACACCCTAAAAAAAAAACAAAAAATCCTCTAGCATGTCCAAGAAAAACAAGTCCTAAAAGTGACAAGAAGGGGGCAGCAGTGAGGCACAGATACAAGCTACTAGAACTTTCAGAGCTAATGCAAAACTGACCCGTGTCGGAGTCCCGCTCCTCGTTCCGGGGCGGACTGACGGTGAAGGACAGCTTCCGTTTCATGGAAGACTTAGACTTTCCCTCTTTCCCCAGGATTTCACTCCGATCCAGCTTCGGGGTTTTGGCAAACGGAGAGATTTTCTCTTTACTCTGAGAGAAAGACAGAAACACACGCCTTGATATTTAACTGGAAGAACATACTATCAGTCAAAAACATGTTCTGAGTAACGTAGTATGCACTTGATCTTAATATAATAAACTGTTTGTGTAACAGCATAAACACACTAAAAATAGGGTCCTTTTGAGCAGGTCCTATTGATTAAATTAAATATTCAACAATAAAAAAACTAAACATTTGGTTATTTTTTCTTTACTCTGAAAGACAGACCTTGATATTTAATGGAAGAACATACTGTCAAAAACATGTTCTGTGAGTAGACTTGAAGAACTGTACCACAATTTCTACTTGTATCACTTTGTAAGACTCCTTGTAAGACCTCATGTAACAGTTGTGTTATTGTTATTTATTTTTTTCTATTCTTTTATTTACTTTTGTTTTTCTTTGTCCCCCGTCCTTGATGTGTACAAAAAAGTTAAAAATTGCTTTAAAAACAAGTAAAAAGTATAAATTAACAAAAAAACGTGTGTAACGTAGTAGTATGCACAAAGCCTTGATCTTAATATGATAAACTGTTTGTGTAACAGCGTATATGCACTTAAAAATAAGATTAAGATTTTTTGAGCAGGTCCTATTGATTAAATGAAATATTCAACTATGAAAAAAACTAAACATTTGCTAAACAGAGAGATTTTCTCTTTACTCTGAGAGACATAAACACATGCTTTAATATTTAATAGAAGAACATACTGTCAAAACCATGTTCTGTGTAACGTAGTATGCACAAAGCCTTGATCTTAATATAATAAACTGTTTGTATAACAGCGTAAACGCACTAAAAATAATAAGATTAAGATCTTTTGAGCAGGTCCTATTGATTAAATGAAAAATATATGAAATATTTAAAGAATAAAAGAGCCACTGCCGACCCTAATGAAATTACTAGCAAGCGGTTAATTGTCATGTCCTCATCATATGATAAACACACACACAGGATTAAAAAAAATTCTTTAAGATGTAAATCATACTAGTTTTTATTTAGAACAACAAAATTATTAAGTTAGATGGTTGAAAAAATATGAATAAAATTTAAATATAATAATAGTCCAAGGCTACTACTATTATAAAATGTTTTTATTGCGATAATAATAATTATAATATTATTATATAATATATTATTATTATTATATAACAACTTTTTTTGTTTATAAAAAAGCTTGAATCTTTTAACAGAGCTAAAAAGGTACAGGACAGAATATCCCGGGATGATCCGACTCACCTTCTTCCCCGCTGTCTTCTCCACCATGGCTCCATCTCGGTCCGATCCCGGTTTGGCCATGGCGCATCTTATGACTAGCCGTGGCAGCTACGGCTCACAGGTTTCATCATGGGCCTGAAACACAAACATATGATGCACATTAGAACCTGAATAACTGATACAACTCTGCATTTCAGTGATTCACTAAATATGATTCGAATAAATATGAATACAAATATGAACGTATGACATTAGTAAACCTAAAATATCATCCAATGTTACGGTTATTTAATAACCAGCATCGGATACTGGAAGCAAATTATATTAAGACTTAATTCATAATTTACTTTGTTCTGTGCTAACTAAGATTCAAAAGTATCAAACTATATTTGATACATGTGCAATTTCAGATTCAGAGCCATAGAGATTATAAAATAATAAAATATATTTCCAGAAATTTTGGGACATTTTGTAAAATGCAATAAAATCAAGATTATGTGATTTGTTAATTCTCTTGAACCTTCATTTAACTGAAAAAATTATGAATAAAAGTACAAATTTTCAATGACCAACTTAATTGTATTTTGTAAATATTGGGGATGGGCGTGATTGGGGAAGAATTTCAATCAATTTTAGAGTAAAGAAAAAAAAATAAAATTGCTTTACTCTAAAATTCAAGAAAATTTATAGAGCACCTCCGCGCATATCTTCAAATTTAGCCTAACCGAACACCCAGTTTAACTGCCACAAGTTGATAATCTTGTAATAAAGATCTAATCGAGGAAAAACACGCTTTATTGTTGTATTTTCATTGCATTTTTAATTTATAAAAAGTGAAATATAACAAATTTGAATATAAAAATATTAATGATTAATCGATAGTCGATCGTTAATTCTTCCGACGATCGACTAAGAAAATGTAATCGAATGCCCATCCCCTAGTAAATATACAGACATTTTGAAATAAATAAATCTAAAATAAGTCAGCCAACAATTCTAATTCAATATATGTATGTAAGAAAATACTGAGCATGTGCAGGTGGAATAATAATCATCAGCATTATGGATTATTACAGAATATAGTTTAATTGAATGTTTTAAATATTATTACAATGCAAAATTGCTAATGGAACAAGAATCAAATTTTCCCACAAGTCACACTAAAGCATAAATCTCAGGAACTGGAAGAAAAAACCCAAAACTCAACTCTGACAGAAGCGAGGAGAAAATCTCTTCATAAACTCCTTTTCAAAAGCTGCGGCTCCAAAAATACATTTAAAACAATCTGTCAGCGTAAACCTCTGGGTATGGAAAACAACTGTGAGACGGCAACAATCAATCATCTCCCAAATCTCAGATCTGAAATTCTTAAGACAAGTCAGGAATAGTTTGGCAGTTCTCGACCCTGTTTGACATGTCAATTTCAAAGTGCACTGAAAAGCACAAAAGGCCACAGGAAATACAAGAAACCTTCCAGAAACACATTCTGATTGGTTCTTAAACGTGACCAATAAACAAACATCCTGGCTGCTTGAACAAAAATAATATTCAGTAAAAAGTCTAATGAGACGGGTGTGTGTTGGAGCATGTGAGCTTTATTTTCCAGTTCCGGAGGTCATTCGGTGGGAACAGGACTTATGTTCATGTCTGCTTCAATCCTGGACTGGTTACAGCTCATGTGTATCACACCAGCGTTACAAAATAACTGCTTATACCATGGTCAAAATAAAAAGGCTACTCGATTCTGATTGGCTGCGGGGTGTCCATTAAAAAGTGATAGAGTACACCTAAGCTGCGTCTGAAATCGAATACTTCCCTACTATATAGTATGCGAAAAACTACATAGTATGCAAGCAGAGTAGTATGTCCAAAATCATAGAATTCGAAAAGGCGAAAAGTAAATATATATATATATATATATATATATATATATATATAAAAATATATAAAAGTAAATATATATATATATATATATATAAAAATATATAAAAGTAAATATATATCTATATATATAAATATATAAAAAGTAAATATATATATGAAGAGTTCAGATGCAAAAGCCTCTAAGTGCCATTTGAAATTTTCTTCTAGAATAATCATTTTTATCAAGCTTGTATATTTAAGTTCAGTGATTGCACTTAAATGGCAATGAAGATTACCTATTAATTGTTATTTAAGTGAAATTACTGAACTTAAATATACAAGTTTGACAAAAATCATCATTAAAGAAGAAAATTTCAAATGGCATTTAGAGGCTTTTGCATCTGAACTCTTCATATATATATATATATATATATATATATATATTTATATCTGATAAAACTGATAAGCAGTGCACACAGACACTTGAGAGTAGAAAGTTTATCCGTCTTCGACTGCAAGAACTGGAGCGCGTCATAAATTAACCAAACTCAGCATATAGGATACTTGCCACATAGACATGAGAAATAGGCCTATAGACAGTCAAAATATGTCTACTTTTAAACAAAACAATTAGAAATAAAAAATTTTATTACCTAATCCATTAGGGCTGGCCAATAAATATCGATTTCTCGATATTAATCGATTCTCATTTTTACGAACCGATATCGATTCTTAAGTCTCAAGAATCGATTAGTCATCCTGTTTCATTTGAATGAATGGATCATTGTATCGCGGCTGCGCGCATCCAAAAATCGCAATAATCTTTGTCCTTTGTTACTATTGATATGAAGCAAAGTCTCAATTTTCAAATTACGTCCATTTTCTTTAGATATTCAAAAACATAAATAGAGTTTTGGCGCTGTGGCGTGAGATCGCTCTGGAGAAGCAGCAGCGCTGATCTCTCTTCCGGCTTAATAATACCAGTTACAGCGCGAAATAAACATGAATGAGCATCTGAAAGTGAGTTAAAAGATAGAGTATAACTTATCGAAATTCGTATCATGTCACATTGATTTACTCAATCAGCGTTTCAACCGTGGAAAGACGTCAGTTAAACAGCTTGTAATCAATGTATCGTCATATTTACCTCAGAAAACCCACAAACTCGTTAGTCAGCTAGAAAAAATAACTCTAGAGAGGAGCATTTTGCTAAATATATAGCCACCATTTAAATGTTTATATTTCATATAATCTTCTTATTATAAAAACAAATAAAAGTGTAATTTAAGTGATTCATTCATTATTACCTTCATATAGGCTAATGAAGCCTAGTAGGCTACAACTAGACTCCCATAGTTTACAGCATTAGTTAAGAGATTTGATTCCCTTGAAAAAAAATGCCATTTATTGTAACTGATATCCAAAATAATCGATATTGAATCGAATCGTAATCGAAATCGAATCGAATTGCAAGCTTGTGAATCGAAATCGAATCGAATTGTGAAATTTGTCTCAATACCCAGCCCTATAATCCATATAGGCGCGTGCATTCACTACGGCAGGAATGACGAGTCAGCATCGCCATAATCATATTTGCAGCCAGCACACTAGCACCCGTACACACGGGAGTGTGTGTGTGTAAAATTTATTAGATAAATAAATGTTATTTGAGAAATTCCGCAAAAGGCGTGATCCGCGAGCGGCTGACCAACGCCGTCTCTTGATTGTCGGCTCGGACGACGTAAAAACGCAGATGAAAGCAGAACTAAAAACAGCGCGAAGTTGGTGCAGTCACTGGGATGGCCTCTTTAAATTTTTGCAATGTTGTGACAGCGTATGTCACTCGACAACAACATGGCGCATGTAGTACGTCCGGACTCACTTATTTTTTGACTGTGAAGTCGTGAGCCAGTTTTGGACTGATTTGGCAGACTTTATATTTAATTTGTTGAATACTAATTATTGCTTTACTTTAAAGGATGTTACCTTGTATTATGAAAATAAAAGTAATAAGGATCTGGAATTTATTGTTAACCTTTTTATCTTATTAGCAAAATTTCACATACATAAACAAAAATTCCTTAATTCATCTCCTATGTTAAATTTGTTTTGTTATGACTTTGATTCCTACATTTCTTCAATAAGATTGTTAAAAAATGAAAAATCTGTGAAATATTTACAATGCTATGATGCACTCTTCAATACCCCTGGTGTTTTGTAATGCTCTTATTTGTTAAAATTGAATGTGAACTATGCTCTATTATTTATTTATGTATTTATTTTTGTTTTGGTTGTTTATGTTCTGTTATTGTCTGTATATGTTACCTTTCTGCAATAAAAAAAAAAAAAAAAGTACGTCCGGACTCATTCATACTACATAGAACGTACCTTTTTAACAGTCGTGAAGTACGTTCTTATTTAAATATAGTACTTACTCACATAGTACGCGATTTCGGACGCAGCCCGACTGTTTACCGTTAATGCGCTGGCTAGACAGCTGTGAGTAACCATAGCATCAAACAGTGATTGCCAAAAACATGTATGCCTAACTGAAACATCTTAATAACAATTTTCTAAAATAAAGTACATTTTACACACAGCTGTATTAACTTAAAGTCATATTTGAGTTGACCGACACTTCTCCACATCATAAAGGCATCTCCACTGTTGCATTATGTCTACATGTGTCTGTATGTTTTTGCATCATCACAATATAAAGAGCCTGAAGAACAAGGAGGCGTTTACATATCAAACCAGCAGCTTCACAAAAGGCCTTCAGTGCTTCATCTTTACATTTGTTCTGCGATTTCTCAAAGCAACAAACGATAAAGTCCGCAATTAGAGAGCATCTGATACTGATGCCTGGGTCTCTTCTGGATGAAATGCAAATCAGCAGAGACCCACAGACCTAAACAATACCTTCCCCGATAGACTCGTGATGCGAACAGATGACACAGAGCAGAGGCTCCTGGGAAAGAACATTTCCACGACACCTGACACCCAGTGGGCCCGAGTAAAAACCAGCTGAGTCACTCTCTCGGAGAAAAAAAGAGGCGGTGAGGAGAAAAGAGCTGCACTGTCCGTGTGCATCATCAGTGTGGGACAAATGTGTTACAACTACAACCACAAGATTTCCTGCGCTCAGTGTTTCAGCTTACAACCGTGCCACACAGCCTCTTAAACCCAATAATCCATCCGTCTCTGAGGTTCACTCGCAGCGAACAAGTTATAAGCTTTTTAAAATAAGTTTAAATCATGCTCAAACCAAACCC